ACGATGGCGATGAAATCGGAAGCCAGTTGGACTGTGGCTGGTATGGTTAGCTGTTGTGGTGTGATCGGGTGGCGTCCGTAACAGAGGAAGTACAGTGTCTGTCCAGTAGCGGCGTCAGGAGCATACTTGTAGGCAAACTCCAGGACGGGCAGATGCAAGTCGGAGTTGGAGATATGAATGGTTGGAACAGTGTGCTGTAACGTGCAGATGAGTGGCTATGTTGTCTGATCCGTGCATGCTGTTACCCGCATCTGGTCCACGTGTGAAGATCACCAAGTGTTGGTGGTATGGTAGTCATGTCATAGAACAGCTTCTGTCGAGCTGATCCATGCCTTAGTGTTGTCGCGAATCGTACCCACTCGGTATCGTAGTGCTGCGGGATGGAGAGCAGAATCACTAGTAGTAACCCTGTCCACCACGCGGTCTACTACTCACACTGCCTTGAGTACAACAGCGCATGCGAAGTGCTGCTCAGCGTATCCCTTGTGTTCAGAACCATGCGAGGGGTTGGTACCACAAACGCGGAGCTGGTAACTTCCAGAATCGGCGCCAAGTAGTTTCCCTCGGTGGTTGCTCAAGCAAGGAATCTCAGCTGCGTAGATATCCCATGGTGATGGGTTAGGATATCTGGGAACGTTACGGGTATTCCCAAGTAATCCTCTCCTGTTTCCAAATGAGCATTGCTGATAGCCAATCCAGTATGACCTTATGCACTTCCAGTTTAGCACGGAGGCCATCGATAGGCATCGGTGTCTGGGTGCACATATTGGGATAGGTCTTCTGGTGCCATCATGTGTTGTCTCATTCTGTCACTGTCCTTGAAATAGCGATGATGTCGAAGATGTCTCAGCTACTCAGCATGAATGTTGAAGTCTGCTCCATTTCGGCAAACAGGGGTGTTGTTGGAGATACGCGGAGTCCACTATCCGGAGTGGCGTCGGCGCTCCATTCCACGCCTATCTGCTTCCGTGGAGTTGGTGCTGGTGATGGATTGGTTGCGACGCAGGTTTTATGTTTTTAAGGAAAGCCATAGGCCATGAGGACTGTATATCGGTAGAGTACCGTGGTCCTCCCATCCCCATAAGAGCAAATATCTAATGCTCTTGAGGGTATATGGCATTGCCATGTTGTTTCCTCGCATAGTGGTATCTCCTTCCCACTAGCTGGAAATCAATGTACTGCCTGGCCGGGTCTTAACGATCCACTGGAATATAATCCAGCATTATCTCCATTGAGTGGAGAATCATCCATCAGGGTTTGGATATGACTGTAGTGTCGAGTCTTCTGCTGCGGCGGCGGCGGCGGTTGCGACGATGGCGACGGCGGCAGCTGCTGCAGAGAATTCTCTCAACTCGTAGTGGTTGAAGGAGAATCCATCAACTCCCTCTTCCCAGTAGAGTGTTCCTGATGGGTGTAACAGGCGTAACTACCAGGAACACGTGCACATTAGTACACATGTGGTGCTCCATTGCTGCCGGTGATTGTTTCATTTGAGGGTATGAAGAGAAATTTGCTTCTCCCCTCAATGTATCCACGGGTAGCAATTCCTGGTATGCTCATCCGTGCCTCCGATGTACGGTCGGTGGAGCGTGTGATCGTCTTGTAGTAGTCCGCATCTCCCTCATTTGTTGACACCTCGTTTTGCTTGACGTTCTCCTGCATCGTCGAAGTTACGTTGGTGCTTGTAACGCTTCGGCTTCTGGTAGAATCGCCTCCAATGCATGTGCCGTAGGGTCGCTAGTGAACGAGTACTTACCGGATTAGAGGTTAATTACTCCTCAATCTGTCAAGCATCGTGACGTGCACGGAATTTTCTTCCACGCAGGTCATTAACACCTGGAATCGCGACGCATGATTGGTGTGTCGCCTCGTGAGGTCGATGTTGAGACTGCTCCAATCAATCACCTCGGATGGCTGAGATTCTTTATGAAGACGAATCGTTCAGATCCTGTTACGAAGTAGTGTCTCGCTGGCCTTGACGAGACGGGTTCACTGCGTCGTCGCTGCGTGCGAAATCTGCTCCTTCGCAGCAACTTGAACTTGGGAGCATTGCAAGAGAAAACGGCTACTTCTCTGCAATCCCATAGGTTGTCGATCAATTTGTATGAAGAAGTGTCTCGTGGATGGAGAACATGTCTTCACGCAGCTCCATTGTTTTTCCCGGGTGAAGATCCCGTCGTGTTGATGTCGATCCATTTTTAACGAAGATGACTTCGTCAAAATAAATAGATCGTTATCGACACTAGTTAGAAGATGCGTCGATTGTGCAGTCGCTGGTCACGAATGTTGTCTCCATGATGATGATTTCCCATAAGTGTAGTCTCTGCTGCATTCGTGCCGTTGATTCCGCAACGATCCGACGATCCACGTTCTCCTGTCAGTTTTCTGCATGCAGATATTACCAAGTAGGTAATACTTTGGCAGATTTCTGACTCTGCTGATGATTTGCGCACCATATTCGTCACCAAATAGAGGAGTCCGAATTTGGTTGTCCAAATGTTGTCGACGGTGTCGAAGACGGCTGATTTTTTGTTCTGCGCGTCATTCTCCCTTCGTGCAGAAGTCGCGCTCCATCTCGTCTGTTGAAGTAGAAGTCGATCCGACGGTCCAAACTCCAAGCGATGTGAGGAGACTCCTGAGTCGCGTTCAGCAGCTTACGGTGCACGGGTTGACTCGTTTCCTGCAGCAATTCTCGGTCGTCGATGTCGGCTGTCGAACGATCGGACGCTCTGAAGAACTTCGCGGCTTGCGAGGTCCCGTTCCCATTCGCGCTGAAACTCGAACTCGCTCAGCAGGATTTCGTTTTCGCCTCGGTCAATCTGAAGCGTCGAATCTCCATCGGACGGATGTCGTCGGTCGAACCTCCGCAGAGTTCCGCGCAACTCCAAGTGTTGTCGCGAACTGCGAACTTCTCCGAATGTCGCAGGGAGTGTTCCGCCGGAACTGACGCGCTCGCCAGGTCGAGGCCGTTTGCCCCCGCGAAAAATCGGCACCGTCGATGCAGTCCATCGAACGGTTGGCGAGGCATCTCGCCTTCGAAGGGGACCCCAGGTGCAACTGCGAGAGGTGAGACGAAACTTAAATGAAAGTGCATTGTACTTACAGGAATTGAAGTTTCGACTCCATCCTCCGCGTGCTCCTGGGGGCCCAGCGGTTAAGCGTTGAGCTGAAACCTTGGCTCTGATTACCAAGTGTCACAGGATCGAATGTGTCGAGGAAAGGTTTGCTCAATGTTGCACTATCAATCAGTACAAGGGGCTTTTATACTTCCATAGTACATCAGGTAACCAGGTTTATCCTATCCAAAGGAAATAGACCCTTCTAGAAATAGAATCTCCCTGCGTATAGCCACGCGAGGCTATTGGCTTTAAGGGATTACGGCAGGATTACGCTAGATATAGCGCGCCAGTACATCCCGAGCCTGGTCGTTGATATAATCATAATAACAGGATAAACCAAAGGATAATGGAAAATGAGGAATAGAAAACCAAATGAGATGAGATAAAGACCAAATGAATCAGGAGTGAAAGAGGAATAAAATAGATAGAAAATATGGAAAGGGGAAATTAGTGTAACGGGGTCGTACTCTCACATCGCTGCTGTCGCTGACTTTGCCTCTACCCGCCGCCTTGACTACGCCACCGCTCTGGTCTCTGACCCTGCCTGCCCTCCTTCCATCGGGGGTGCATCTGCCCTTGGCAGTGACGTCCTAGAGGACAGGCAATACGAGCTTGCTTTCCTGTTCGAGGCCGCTCTCCATCTCTATTCCATGCTGCTAGACCCTGAGGGTGACCCAGACGCCTTTGATATCCCGACCCCTCACACCTACGCTGAGGCGACCTCGGGACCCTGGACCTCTCAGTGGATAGCTGCCATGGAGCAGGAGATGGCATCTTGGAGATCCATCGTCACCTTCGTCGACGCAGTTCCCCCACCTGGGGTGAACGTAGTCGATAGCCGGTGGCTTTTTAAGGTGAAGCGCCCTCCTGGAGAGCCGCCTGTGTTCAAGACGCTCTATATAGCTAGAGGCTTCAGTCAGCGTGAGGGTGTTGACTTCTTTCAGACCTCTAGTTCCTGAGGAATCTGTAGAGCCTAGTGGTCCTTCGCAGAGCTGGTGGGTTGCCTCATGTACCTAACGACTTGCACTCGTCCAGATCTCGCATACCCTCTCAGCATCCTAGCTCGCTTTGTGGCCACAGGCAGACACCGACCCCAGCAATGGTCGACCGCTAATAGGGTTTTGCGTTATCGACCAAGTACATCGGGCATGGGGCTAGTGCTAGGAGGACGCAGGCCAGTGGTCCTTACAGGGCACACAGACGCTTCGTTGGCAAACGACGCTGAGACACTCAGGTCCTCCCAGGGCTACTGCTTTAGCCTTGGTTCGGGTGCCACTCGTGGAGGTCCACTCGCTCCTCGTCTGTTGCCCAGTCTAGCTGTGAAGCTGAGATCTACACCGGTGCCATGGCAGCACAGGAGCTCCGCTAGCTGACCTTCTTGCTCGCCGACTTAGGTGAGCGGCCTAGCTCTGCCCCAGTTCTGTATGCTGACAACAGGGCCATGATCCTCCTGTGTCAGGAGCCACGACTTGAGGGCAGAGCGAAGCACATCCAGCTGCAGTACTTCCTCCTGCGCGAGCTACAGCAGCGTCGCCAGGCCCGCGTAGTACACTTGGCCTCTGGTGCCAACATAGTTGATATCTTTACTAAGACGCTTGCGCCTAAAGATCATCAACGGCACTGTGTGCAGCTTGGTCTAGTTCCTATAGCTCCTCACTTGCTAGGACCTTGATTGTGTACTACTCTTTTATATATTCCCTTTTGACTGGCCTTGTGGCTTTTCTTCCAGTGGCCGGACTAGTAGTGCCGCCCTGGTTTTCTTTTGTCTAGTTTGTACTCTTGCTGACTGGTCTTCGGACCCTCGTCTCAGAGGTTGGACTTGTAGTGCCACCGTGAATTGCTGGTCACTTTCAAGGCACTGCCCCTTGTCCAGGCTAGGGGGTGTGTCAAACATATTTGTATATGTTACTATAGCCTAGATAGGGGCATGCCTTAGAAAGTACAGCTCATTAGGTCAAAACCACACTGTACCCTTCATTCTAGTTCATTCCGCTACTCTAAGATGATGAGCCATGTGCAGAAGTCTGACATGTGTAGCAGTTGTAGCAGGCCTTGCTGCTTATAACGAGGACAGATGCCCGTATGTTCCCTACCATGTCAAGGGCAGGCACGTGCTCAGAGAAAGCAGATGCTGGAGCAACAGGAGGAGCAGCAGTTGCAGCAGAGGGGCACACGCGAGCGGTACCAGCAGCTGACAAAGCAGTGACCACCAGCAGCACCACCAACAGCACCAGCACCAGCAGCACCAGCAGCACCACCAACAGCACCACCAGCACCAGCAGCACCAGCACCAGCAGCACCAGCAGCAGCACCAGCACCAGCAACACTAGCGGCAACACCAGCAGCAGCAACACCAGCAGCACCAGCAGCAGCAACACCTGCAGCAGCAACTGCAGTAGAAGCAGCATAAAACCGCAACTACTGCAGCAAAGGAGCAGCAGCAGCAGCAACAGCAGCAACAGGGATGACAGCCGCTGGCTAAGAGAACGACCATTGCACTTCCCTCTCCTTGCTGCATTACGACCATCCCTGGTCCCCCCACCTCACTTTCCCCCGCTGTTAAGACTCCCCCATATTCTCGGCCAGCAGCACTGCGTGGGTGGCAGAGTGCAGATACGATTCTGCCTCACTGTTCCGCACCCACAGCGGGAAGCTACCACCACCCGCAGCAGTACCAGCAGCAGAGGAAAAACCGCCACCGCCACTGTTCATCTGGTCACTGTTCACGGCCAGCGTGCCGCCCAGAATGGGCACAGTGCTGACTGACCTGCGGTGGGCGGCAGGAGCACCATCCGCCCACCCTCTAGCCTGCGATCTGACGTGGCTCTGTGAGGGCGGGGTGAGGATGAGGGGGCTGCATGGGTGCGACTGACTGGCTGAACGGAAGATTGAGACACGTGGTGCTCTCAGCCCATCCAACTGACCCTGCTTCTGCAGCCTACCCTGCTCCCCCTGCTGCAGCACCCCCTGCTGCAGCCCCCCCTGCCGCTGTCCCCCCTGCTCCTCCTGCCCCTGCTCCCTCTGTTGCTCTGCCTGCCAGCGCGTCAGCCTTAGCAGCGACATTCGAGCCTGGGGAGAAAAAGAGCCTGCGGCCCGCCTTGCTGTCTGCCATTGCATGTCCGCCTCCTGCCCCCGCTCCTGCCCCACCTCTGCTGCTTCCCTCGACTCTATCTCGTACTCCCCTCCATGCTCCGCCTCCCCTCCCCCCTCCCCGGAACCAGTACCTCCGCGCCGAGTCTCCAGGCTCGAGTTTCCGCCCCTGCTGCTCCTTCCCCCGCGTCCCATGTCCCCGCTCCCACCCTTTTTCCCGCACCCGCCTAACTCCCATTCACCCTCCGATTCACTGCTATTCCGCCGTTTTTGCGCGCGCTTTCCGCTTTTAGCAGCTCCCGCGCCCGCGTCTTCGCGCGCCAGCGGCGACGAGCAAAACGCGCCTTCCGCGAACAGCTCCCCCAGCCGCACATCCAACTCCGCCTGCCCCGGGGAGTCGCGGAAGCCTCCTTCCGCCTCTCCGCCAATCAGCTCGCGGCTTTCAAAGGCAGATCGCGCCCGCACGCGTCGCTGCTTCCATTCCGCCGGCAACTCCGCCGCCGGCAGCGGCGCAGTCGGCGCCGCGAGAAGCGGGGCGGTCTTCGGAGCATCGAGCGAGGTGAGCGCGGCGGCTTGCGGGTTGACTTCCAAGCGCATCGTCGCGCGGAGTTCCACCGCCAACGTCGTTCTCCGCTCTCGTTCCGCCGAAAGGTCCGCCCCGCTGCTCTCCCCGTCGCTCCGCTTCCTTTCCCCACCTCCCGAGTCGTTTGCGCCTGCTTCGCCGCATGCTGGCGCCACTAAGCCGCCGCCAGCACCTGCGTCACTTCCCTCAACCCCTTCCCGTCCTGCTTCTCTCGAGTCAGTCACACCCCCCTGGCTAGCCTTTCCCCCGTTAAAAGCACGACTCGATATTCGACAACTGAACGGCCCCTGGCGCAGCACGAGCAGCGGGCTCTGCCCGTCGGGGGAAGCATCGGTGCAAGCCGCCGCCGGGTGGTCGAGCGCGTGGCGCAAGCCGCCGAGGATCCGCAGCCGCTGTTCGCGCCGCCGCTGGAAAATCTCCTCCTCTTGCTCGCTGGCTGCTAAAACCAACGCCCGCTGCCCAATCTCCTCAGGACTGCCGCGTGGCATCTTGGGCGAGCGCACCTTCGCAGAACTTGGCCATTCCTGAATTTGCGGGTACGCCTGCACGAGCGGCTGTTCTTGAAGCGCGCCAAATATTGACTTAGGAGGCGGGTATTCCTGGATTTGCGGGTATGTCTGGATCTGCACGGGCGGCTGTTGGCGCGTGGGCTGTTGGCGCGTGGGCCGGATCGGCTGCTCCCACATCCACGAGCATTGCACCCGCAAGCCGGGGGAGCCGTGCGACGTCGAGGCGGGTAACCCTAACTCTCGCTGCTGCTGCTGCTGCTGTTGTTGCTGCTGGGGACGGTCCCGACCGGGGAAGGTAACACCCGGCGAGACGGCAGGGCCTATGTGGATTCGGTTGAGGCGCGGCAGAAAGGACGCGTCAGCCGCGCTCCAGTCGCGCGACTGCGGTACTCCCGCTGGAGCATCCTGACCGTACGCGCGCTCGAGCCGAAAGGTGTCCGTCGATGGCGGACACGTGGCAAGAGCCAGATCGTTTCCCAGCATCCCTTGGGAGTCTACGAGGCGCGCCGCGAGGCCTGTGGGCGAAGCCATGTGCCGATCGAACAGCGGAGTAGCGAGGTCACTGGTCGTACTTAAGTGTCCATCGAGCGGCGCGGTCGCGAGGTCTCTAGCTTCGCCTGCGGCTGATCTTCTAAGAGCTAGCACAGCGTCCAGCGTCAGTGGCGGCGGCTGCGGCTGCGGCTGAAAGTGCGAAGACCGGTGTCGACGAGGAGAACTAGACCCTGAAGGAGCGACGGCCGTGCGTGCGTGCATGGCGCGAGACGCATCCACCATGGACGGATCACGCCCTCCCATGATAGGAGTGGGCGATGGGTCACGCCCGAGAGCGTTGAAAGCTGCGCGATTGTCGCACTGAGGCGACCGTCGCATGCGATCGAGCAGCGACCCCACGGCGACGTCGTGCGACGACACGCCGGACTGAACGACAGTCCAAACGACGCGAGGAATGGCCGTCGTAGGAGCCATGGGCACGTCGGAGATCGCGCAGCCGCCGCCATCCAATGACAGCCGGTCGCAAGCCATGGAATGCGGGCTTTAACGATGAGGCTGACGACGCGGGAACAGGGATTCCAATCGGATAAGAGCCTTTATGGATCGCGAGAGGGTGAGATGATAGGTTCGCACTATGGGCGAGCTACGGGACTTCGCGAAGGCTATCCCATGCAGACTTAACGTTGCCTATGCTGCTGCACCAAAATGCGCTACATTGCCGCAAACGTTACCAAAAGGTGAGTGTTAGGCTTGCAAATGTGTGGATGAGTGGGAGAAAGCTGCTCTGAAGGGACCAATGCGGTGGAGCTTCAGCCCACTTCGCAACCAGACACTGGCTTGAATCGTTCTGCCTGTATGGAGGGACCAGTGAGAGCAGGATAAAACACACCGCCATGGCGGGATGGGGGGGGGAAGAGTTATGAAGGACGGTTCAATTCAGATATGTGGTTCGGTCGGGTGGGGAGGAGGGTGAATGGGCGGAGAGAGGTGGAGGGATGGGGGTGGAGGGCTTGGGGTGGAAGGTACTCTACTAAACTAGTTGGCGTTGGCACTGCACTCCAGCAGAAACAGAGGCATGCCCAAGTCTGGGTGATTTCGACTCGAGGAATTGAAATTGAAGAAGCCATCCCCTAAGGGTTTGTGGGATTGCAACTGGAACTTAACCCAGCTTAGAATAGTACCGTCGGGTCGACAGTAAAACCACGGTTGACAGCACTTCTTCTCCAGCAGCGGGAAGGAAAAGGGTTGTGAGCAATGGCAATATAACCAGTTCTTAGACTGGGAAGGGCACACTTCCTGGATCCAGCCAGGGTAGGCACTACATTTCTTTTGTCTAGAGATGTGGCAATGTTCGCACCACATTTCAGGCCGAGTTTCCCTTCCACGTCCTCAGCCAACTTGGGTGACCCTGGAAGTAGTGCGTGGAGACAGCAGCAACGTCGCATCTAGGTTATGTGGGTCTTTTTCCAAGATCAACACCCTTCATCTCCACCGCCCTCCGCTCCTGCCTCTGAAGCTTCGATCTCCACCAGGGCTCTTCTCATAGGGTTTCCATTAGGAGACAAAATCGGCCCCCGAGATACCCCAATCGGACAGATTCTACGGGGAACTACCCGAAGCACACGGATTTGTCCAACATACTCGTAAAACCCGCAGGGGATTTTTCTCCCTCCTTATACGACTCAAACGGTCAGCGGAGCAAGAAACAACTGTCAAAGAAATCAACTACTCGCTTTGCTGAGTGGGAGGAAGGGAGGGATTGGGGGGGTACTATATACACCACTATTAGTATCCGCTGGTGGACGGGGTCAGTAAGGTTTCCTATATATAAAAAAACAGAATCAAGTCAGAAATTTCTCTACATTAAGGGTAATTATTTCATTGGAAATAGCCCTGAGCTCTACTGACCTGGGATCATTTTTTTGTGGCCCGTGTTACTTTGGCACGTCAGCATGACCATCATGTAGTGAGAAAAGCCAAAATGGCAGTTTACGCGTGCTCAAGCCACAGCTGGCAGCACGTGGTTTGGTGACATGTCATTCGGCGAAGCCAGCCAAGCAAATCTAGGTACGGGAAGCCGATCTCCTGCTTCGAGAAGTTTCAGCCCCAGTTCTGGAAACCAGGCCATCAAACCTTAGGCTTGGAAAGCGTTTTGTCACCCCATTGGACCCCAAGGCTGCCAAGGAGATGGAGCGAAGCTTTGCAGAATCTACTGTGGCGGATCAGTACCCCTTCGCAGCATCTACACCGCATGGTATAGAGTGGTGAACCCCCAGGTTCAGTCTACACTTTTGTAGTTGCCCATTACAGACGGAATCCCAACGGTAGTGTACAAAAAAAAATGTGATTGATTAGCTAAGAAGCAAGGTTCCGCTAGCCCACTCGGAATCTTACGACAATCTGCACACAACTTTTTTTCCGGTACGAAGTGTGCGTTTCCACGTTTACTAATGAATCCCTTCACATTTTTCGTTTGAATCGTTTGCCCTGGGAAATTTGCATTGTGCACATTTTCTATTCCACTGATTCCAAGCCTGAATACAATTTGGGTGTCTTTGACCGGTGAACGTCGGAGTTGGAGATCATGTGCACATTCTCTCTGACCTCAGAAAGTTCACTGCTTTGTCAAGCAAACCAGCGTAAACTCTTGTTCCTCCCTATTTTTTGGGCAATCGCAATTGAAATATCGAAACCCTAGCCAAAATGTTCCCTCGGCCAATTTACTGCAGGGGGTTCTCCCCGCCCTGTAATATCTAATACAGTAAAAGCATCCCTCCCTTAGTCGAAAGTAGCCCTCCTATTGTTGGGAGTGGCACATTCCGAGCCGGTCGATACTCTGCCTACAAAATAGTCCAAAAGTCTACGGGCTGCTTCCTGCATCGTGTCATTCCGTCGATGACACCCGATTTTGACTGTAAGCTAGTTTCGGCCGAACCTAGCTCAGGGGCAAAATCGGGTGTCATCTGAAGGATCACACGACGCAGAAATAGGCCCTCTGGCTGCCCTGCCTGGACGAGATGGACAAGGGGTAAAGTCGGATTATGCATGGCTCGGATTAGGCAGGGGACATCGAGAGAGCCCCGACATCAAGACTATGCACTTCAAGGCTTTGCATCATGTGGTGGCCCAACGGTCGTTGTGCCACTACCGATGGGAGAGGGTTCGGGTTCGACCCCACGTGCAGGCGTGTTTGCCAAGTCCTCAGAAAAGGGCTTGCACGTGCCTCTCCATGCGAGCGGATATCCCACCCTCGTTGACCCAGCGAGGGGTGTAAACAATTGGGGAGGCGGATTACGATCGACAGCCGGGGGTAATTCCCAAGGGGGGGTCCTCCTCCTCCACTTTACTTCAAGGCTTTGCACAAATGCCCTTGGCTCCGTGGATAGCCTTTAAAGCCCCACTCTCATAATTCTAGGAAGTGAGCAAGTGTTAAATGTTTGGTACCCAGTTACGCTGGCAAACTTGAAGCGACAGGCTTGGAAATGCCTCGGACAGTGTGCTATGCTAGGGGGGGGATACTAACCGTATAACCAGTTCAGCAATATGAGAATCTGCAATTTTACGGAAGAATGGTCCTGCTGCACCGTTAGATCATCGAGAGCCTTTGATCTGACGGCTGGATGACTGGGCGTTTGAATCGACGGCTATAAACGAAGTAGAAAGTTGTTGCGCAAAAAATTGGAGTTTGCACCGTCCGATGTGCTAAACCTGACGTGTTCCAAACTTCCCCAAACCTGTTTCTTGGTTTGGAGTTTTTTGTCGAAACAAAACGGCCTCGCCACGTGAGTTTCGTTTTCGTAGTTTTGTTTACACCTCGCGTGCCAATCAGTGCCTGTCTGTCTCAACCAAGTGTTAAACTCTGGTAGTTATGATATGGGGGCTTTAATTTATTCCAACCCGTTTTGCATCATCATGTAACATCCACAATCCCGTTTTCCAGGGTTGCAACCCTCTAGGTCGGGGAATACAGGGTTTTCAAATATATTTTCGTAGTTTTTTTTTTAAGGTTTATGGTATGGTAAAGCGTCGGCTCCCTGTCGTCGATCCTGGAAAACAGGATCGCCATAACATCTCCTAAGGGCGTGTTTCTAGTATGTGGCATCCCAAAAAAGTGTCATCCGAGAATGTTGGAAACCCATCGCAACCGTTGAAGTTGCTAAATAACGGTTGCGATTGTTAGAATGGAATAATGACTAGAATAGGTGGGTACAACGCTATATAGGCTAGTGTGTTGTACCCTCTAAGGCACAAACATGTATAGTCTACAGTAGTAAACTATGTTATGTTTGACACACCCCGTAGACTATATAGGGGCAGTGCCTAACAAGAGAACAAGCAGCTCTGGGCGACACTACTAGTCCAGCCTCTGAGGCAAGGGTCTGAAGACCGGTCAAAATGAGAACAGACAAGACAAAAACAAGAACAGGGCGGCACTACTAGTCTAGCCACTGTGATAAGCCACAAGGCCAGTCTGGGTAATATATATATATAAAGGTCTAAACACAATCAAGGCCCTTAGCAAATAAGAGGGTACATGAACGAGACCAAGCTGTACACAGTGCCACTGATGATCTTTAGGCGCAAGCGCCTTCGTAAAGATATCAGCTATGTTGGCACCAAAGGCCAAGTGTACTACGCGGGCCTGGCAATGCTGCTGTAGCTCGCGCAGGAGGAAGTACCGCAGCTAGATGTGCTTCGCTCTGCCCTCTAGTCAATGCTCCTGACTCAAGAGGATCATGGCCCTATTGTCAGAGTACAAGACCGGGGCAGAGCTAGGCCGCTCACCTAAGTCTGTGAGCAAGAAGGTCAGCCAGCGGAGCTCCTATGCCGCCATGGCACCGGCGTAGATCTCGCCCTCACAGCTGGACTGGGCAACAAACGAGGAGCGGGTAGCTCTCCACGAAACACCACCTGAACCAAGGCTAAAGCAGTAGCCCTGAGAGGACCTGAGAGTCTCTGCGTCGTCTGCCGAAGAAGCGTATCTGTGCACAGTAAGGACCACTGGCATGCGACCTCCCAGCACTAACCCCATGCCCGATGTACGTGCAAGATAACGCAAAACCCTCTTAGCGGCAGACCATTGCTGTAGTTAGTGTCTGCTTGTGGCCACAAAGCGAGCCAGGATGCTGGTGAGATCTGGGCGAGAGAAAGTCATCAGGTACATGAGGCAACCCACCAGCTCTCAAGAACAGGAGCTGAGAGCCTGTGGTCCACCGACAGAGGTGTGGGCTGTGCAGAGGAGAACAGAAGATCGAACCGCTGGAGGACCTAGTGCACCAAGTGTGACTGTAAGAGAGTGATAGTGCGCGCTGCTGTGTCCCTGGAGATTTGCAGGCCAAGGTAGCGGCGCAGTTCTCCTAGGTCAGTGCAGGTGTGTCTCTTCAGCAGCCCTGCCTTCACGAAGGCTAGCGCGTCCCTGTCTGCAGTAGCAAAAACAAGGTCGTCTACGTAAACAAGGATGTAGGTAGACCTGCTCGTGTAGGCTCCCCTGAAGAAAAGCTGTGGAGTAGTCAAGGGAGTGTAACTCGTAGTCGCGCTGTGCTGCTACGTGTAGCAGAGCCCGAAGAGTAGTCATCTTCGGGGTCCGTGCAAAGGTCTGAAAGAAGTCCACCCCCTCTCGCTGACTGAAGCCTCTAGCCACGTAGCGCGTCTTGAACACAGGCGGCTCTCCAGGAGGGCGCTTCACCTTGAAGAGCCACCGGCAATCGACTACGTTCACCCCAGGTGGGGGAACTGCGTCGATGTATGTGGCGGTGGATCTCCAAGATGCCATCTCCTGCTCCATGGCAGCTATCCACTGAGAGGCTCAGGGTCCCGAGGTGGCCTCAGCATAGGTGCCAGGGGTCGGGATGTCGAAAGCGTTTGGGTCACCCTCAGGGAATAGCAGCACGGAGCAGAGATGGGGAGTAGCCTCAGACAGGAAAGCAAGCTCGTACTGCCAGTCCTCCAAGATGTCACTGCCGAGGGCAGGAGCACCTCCGACGAACGGAGGATAGGGAGGGTCGGAGACCAGAGCGGTGGCATAGTCAAGGCGGCGGGTAGAGGCAAAGTCAGCGACAGCAGCCACAAGAGCGTCAAGACACGAAACAGGAACAAACGGGTTGGTAACGAGGAGGCAAGGACCCGAGGAACAAGAGGACGAGCGGCTCGAAGGTAGTCGGACAGAGAGGGAGGCGCGACGACAAGGGAGGATGGAGGAGGCAACGGCAGGAGGGGAGGACGAGACACATGGGAACGAAGCAACATAGGGTGAGAACGAGGAACAGAAGAGACAGGACGAGCCCGAGAGGGACGGCGAGACTAGACGTGAGACGGAGGCGTCGGGTCAGGAGACAGAAGAGGAGTTACAGGAGGCAAACAAGGGGGAAGGCGAGCCGGAGACGAGTCCGGAGGAGGGAACACAGGGCCGAAAACAGGAAGAAGAGGAGACGGTAGAAGGGGGGGAGACACGCGGTTAGGGGAGGGAAGGCCGAGCAGGCGAAGGGCGGACACCGGCGGCGACTGCTGCTGCGGCGGCTACACGACGCTGACACCTGGACCGCGAGCTGCTCCATGGCTACCTCCGGAACACTCCACTCCGGCAACCCCAGACGAAGCTCCCCCAGAACTAGTAGCGCGCTCTACATCGGCACCACCCCCAGGCTCGCTGGACTAGCACCCTCCTCAACGCCAACACCCCCAGAAGGCACGAACTGCTGCTGCGGCCGCGAGGACGACAGCAGCTGCGGCGGCGGCTGCGGCTGCGACGTAGGGCCACCAGAGTTAGCAGATTCCTGAATAGGGACAACCGACGGGAGGGGGGTAACGTGAGACACACCAGACAGGGCAGGGTGGGGAGGAGGGGGGGAAGGGGCAACCAAGGAAGGAGGGACCAGGAACAGGGGGGGTAACCGGGGGACCACGGTGGGGAAACCGGTGGTAGAAGGAGACGGACTCGTAAAAGGTGGCATCGCAAGAGTGAAAGAAACGGTGAGACGGTGGGTTGTAGAAGTGCCAGTCAGACGAGTCGAGGGGGAAACCTAGGAAGTCACAGGGGAGTGTGCGGGCAGTAAGCTTGTCCGTGCCAGAGGCACGAACGTGGGCAAGGCAGCCCCAGACGTGGAAAGCAGACGCGTCACCAGGAGACCCGGTCCAGAGGAGGATCGGCGAAACCTGCGGCCGCTAAGGGTGCGGCCACAGGTTAAGCTGGTGAGCGGCGTAGCGAACGGCGAACGGCCACAGAAAATGGGGTGCACCGGCATGGATCATGGAGGTACGAGCCACCTCCATGACCAAACCGATGCGTCGCTCAGCGACCCCATTCTGCTGCGGGGAGTCCGGCAGTGTGAACGTCTGGGTGATGCCCTCCGCACAACAGAAACAACCAAAATCGCCTTCGCGGTCAGAGTGGAGACGCAACACAGGAAGACTGTGGTGTACACGCGCAGAGACAAGCCACGGGATAAGAATGTCAGGCACGTCGGCCTTCCGCTCCAAGGGAAAACGGTAGTGTAAGGTAGTCGTCAACAAGGACGAGGAAGTAACGCTCACGACGCAGCCCATGGACGGGGGCAGGGCCCCAGTCGTCCATGTGCAAGGTCTGCAGCAGTTCGGTGGTGGGGGGGAATGAGGAGGACTGAGGGGCACGGCGGAGCCGGCCCTCGACGCAGGGGGAGCACGGCGGCGCGGGTGAGAAGGGGAGCTTGGGGAACGACCCAGGAATACCTAAGACAAGACCGTGCTGCGACATGTGACGAAGACGAGGGAGGGCAGGGTGACCAAGGTGGTGGTGCCACTGGAGTGTCGGGTGAGTAAGGGAACGACACGAGCAAGCCGCAGCTACCTGAGGAGACACGGGCACCTGGGGAGTTGCCCCAACCGGGGGGGGGCACGGTGGCTAGCGTGAACAGGCCGGACACCGGGTCCTGGGGGAACGTGGTGAGGGGAGCACTCGTGGCGGCCTCGGTACAGACAGCGTACCGTTCGTGACCAGGGAACACAGTGGTGACGCCAAGGTCTTGGAGGCAGCCGACACCAACTAGGTTCCTAGAGAACAAGGGGATGTGCAGGCCTGTAAGCGAGCCCGAAGGAGCCGCTGGACAGGGAAGGGTAGAAGAGCTACGAGCTACGACATGGCCTAAGGAAGGGTCAGCCAGGGATTTGTGGCGGGAGCAGCAAGCAGGGTGAGAGTAGTGGAGTCCCGAAAGAAGCACCGGGAAGCACCGGAGTGCAGGATTAAGGAAAACGCAGCAGAGGCGGGAGGGGTCGAGGAAGCAACGGAGGAGCCTAGACTAAACAATGCAGGAGATCCTACGCCTGACGCAGCAGAGGAGTCTAAGCTAGGCACTCCTACACAAGGCAACACGGGGTCAGCGGAACCAATCACACTAGAGTCATCGACATGCAGAACATACAGCGCAGAGCTAATCTCATCCATGTCCATATCAAAGACCTGAACACCCCTACGAAGTAAGCTGAGCTTGTCGGGGAGGGCGGGCGCCGTGCCGAAGCGAAGACGAAACATGTCGTCAAGCAGCGAGGGGTGGTGTGACTGGTCTTACCGCACACGAGGCCACGGCGAGGACCGGTCTGAAACTGGTACTGGCAGCGCCCATCGCCCGCACCACCACCTGGCGTCACGCCGCGCGCACGACCACCTCGACCGCCACCACCTCCAGCGCCGGGCCACCCAGGCGGGAGACGACCAACCCGCCTCTGCGGCTGCTGCTGCGGCTGCTGCTGTGGCGGCTGCTGGTCAAGCGAGGGAACCTGCTGCTGCTCGGCGGTGCTAAGCCCAGGGCCCTCGTCAGCACTCCGAGCGGGCGACCCAGCTCCACCACCTCCTCCACCCCAACCACCCCCACCACCACGCCCAGCCTTGGGGCGGCGGCCCTTTCCAGGACGGGCCTGTACTCCAGCGGCAGTGTCAGCCACTGCAGCAGAGCTGTCAGAGAAAGTGCACTGGGCGAGCGCACAGCCCTGAAAGATAGAGACCGGCACCGTACCGCTGGATAGAGCGCTAGCGGGTCTCTATGGCAGATAGGGTGTCAACAAAGTCAGTAAGGGTGAGGTCTGCAGGGTGGGCACTAAGAAAGTGATTGCGGGCAGTGGCAAGGCGGTCAGGGAGGCGGGTGGCAAGCAGGTAGAGGGAATGCGGGAGACGGGGCTGAAATACACGTAGCTGGGCCTCAGTACAGGCCGAGCGCCAGGTCGAGTCTAGCGTGTGCAAGTGGGCAGCTAGGTCAGCGACAGTGGGGAAAGAAGCGAGATCAGGGAAAAGCAAGGGTAAGATCAGGCGGCCTACGGAGGTAGAGGACGGGGTGGAATAGCCAGTAATGACAGCATCGAGGAAGGCCTGTGCAGTCCTGAAAGAACTAAAGCGGGGACGCTCAGACAGGGAAAGCGCATGACTAATGGCAAGTTGTGCAACAGCGTCCCGCGACAAGTAGACCGTGCGACCAAGGGCAGCAGCAGCAGCGGACTCTCGATCAGCAGACGTGGGATCAGTGGGCAGCGGATCGGGGGGGTCAGGAGAGGGGAGCTCACCACCAAGGTGGACGGCCAACGAGTGGCCGTTCTGACGCTGACCTGTGAGGTGACGGCGGAGGTCGACGAGCCACGTGTCGAACTTAATCGGCTGACCCTCCACGTCGAATCGCAGCACAGAGTCTGCCATCAGGAGCGAGGCAGCTGCAAGGCAGTACGGTGCAGTGCGGTACAGTACGGTGCAGAGGGGTGCAGTGCGGTACAGTGCGGTGCAGAGGGGTGCAGTGCGGTACAGTGCAGTGCAGTGCAGGCGGGCGTCAGGGCCTGGCGCGGAGAAGGGCGCGGGGCCGGGGACGAGGCGGGCGCGGGCCGGCGAATGGACGAGCGCGGGGCCGGAGACGGGGCGGAGGGGCCGACTGGCCGAGGGGCCGCTAAGGGACGGGGCCGCAGGGCCGCTAGTCGACGGGGCCGAGGGGTCACTAGGGGACGGGGCCGCGGGGCCGCTGGTCGACGTGGCCGAGGGGCCGCTAGGGGACGGAGCCGCGGGGCCGCTAAGGGACGGGGCCGCGGGGCCGTTAGGGGACAGGGCCACGGGGCCGCTAGGGGACGGGGCCGCGGGGCCGTTGGTCGACGGGGCCGAGGGGCCGCTAGGGGACGGGGCCGCGGGGCCGCTGGTCAACGGGGCCGAGGGGCCGCTAGGGGACGGGGCCGCGGGGCCGCTGGTCGACGTGGTCGAGGGGCCGCTAGGGAACGGGGCCGCGGGGCCGCTAAGGGAAGGGGCCGCGGGGCCGTTAGGGGACAGGGCCGCAGGGCCGCTAGGGAACGGGGCCGCGGGGGCGGTGGTCGACGGGGCCGAGGGGCCGCGGGGTCGCTGGTCGACTGGGCTGAGGGGCCACTACGGGACGGGGCCGCGGGGCCGCTAGTGGACGGGGCCGAGGGGCCCGCTAAGGCGCGGGGCCGCGGGGCCGCGGGGCCGCTAGGGGACAGGGCTGCGGGGCCGCTGGTCGACGGGGCCGAGGGGTTGCTAGGGGATGGGGCCGCGGGGCCGCTGGTCGACGGGGCTGAGGGGCCGCTACGGGACGGGGCCGCAGGGCCACTAGGGGACGGGGCCGCGGGGCCCGCTAAGGGACAGGGCCGCGGGGCCGCTAGCGGACGGTGCCGCGGGGCTGCTGGTCGACGGGGCCGAGGGGCCGCTAGGGGACGGGGCCGCAGGGCCGCCGGTCGACGGGGTCGAGGGGCCGCTAGGGGACGGGGCCACGGGGCCGCTAGGGGACGGGGTAGGCGAGGCGGCTAGGACCTAGGGCGGAAGCGCTGGTGGGCGGGAGGGTCCTAACCTACTCATGAGACCATGTCAGAATGGAATAATGACTAGAATAGGTGGGTACAACGCAATGTAGGCTAGTGTGTTGTACCCTCTAAGGCACAAACCTGTTAGTCTACAGTAACAAACCAAGTTATGTTTGACAGCGATGGGTTTCCAACATTCTCGGATGACACTTTCTCGGGATGACACCTACTAGAAACAAGCCCTGAGTCATCTGCTTGCAACAGCCTTGCGAATGCAACATGTGCATCAAAATATAGCTAGAGACCAAGAACAGGGAAGTTAATGGTAACCGTTGACATTGACGGGATCGAATATGCAAGGGTGCTGACTTCGTGCATCGCCATTCTGGGAATAACCTGGATCATGGAAAGCACAGGGTTAGTAACCACCAAAAGCATACAAAGTCGCATACGTTTGTATGTTTTCTGCAGGTACTTCAATGAGAATGGCATTGCAGTTGCACCAGTGGAAAATAAAGGCAACTAGAGGAGGCATCATTCGCGAAATGCCGCCAGAAAGGTTACACCATAAGATCGGTAGTGCAACGAAGGGAAACGTATTCTAGGGGGCATTCAACTGACCTTCACAGGGTCCCCAATTGAGTTTTCATCATCGGGGTTGCCAGAGGCGCTGGAGAGGAGAGTGAGCAGCACCGGGCCAGAGGCGGTCGCGCCTTGTAGCTCCACATGCAGAGTCACTGGCGATGGCTGGAAATTGGCTGCCTGGGACATGGGATGTGGAGCATGCAAGAAGGGGGCGCTTTGAGTCGCCTCAAGGCATAGGGGAGCGTGCCAGATGGGTCGAAGGCAGGACATGGGGGAGACGAGGAGTGGTATGAATTTGAGCACAAGGCGGAGTGGGGGAAAACAACAGCAACATGCCATCTGTACCATCCAAGGTGCAGTGGCAGCACCATCACAGGCACCCAGGGGAGATAACGAGCGGGAGGGAGAGAGAGTCAGACCATTGGATGGTGCCATTTGTTGCCATTTGACCATGATCAACAGTGACATGCCATTTGTGCCATCCAAGGCACATCTCGCCAATGTGGCCGACACCAGCAGAGGCACCCAGGAGAGAAAGCGAGAGGGGGGGAGAGACGTAATCCGACCTTGACCAAAATGGCTTCTTGCGCCGAGTTGCCACCTCTCTTGATCCGAACAGCCGATGCTTCAAACCGCCTAGCATCACACCCACCACCTCCCCCCTCGGCACCTTCAGGGGTGAGGGTGGCATCTGAGGAAGGTGGGTCTTCCCGGGTGGAGGTGGCATCTGAGCGCGATGCGTCTTGACTGGTGGAGGTGAGATTCGAGGGCAGTGTAGCCAGGGAGGAGGAGGAGAAGGAAAGGCGGGAGGGCAGCAGGGAGCCCCCCTTGGAGTGTTGGAACATGCGCTGCAGCCAGTAGCTGGGAGTGCCGTAGATGCGGTGGGAATCAAAGCCTATCAGGTCAGGGGTCCAGCTGAGGAACAGGGTACGGCAAAGGGAGAGAGGGGCAAACAGAAAAGGTAATGCAGCCAGTAGCTGGGCCTGGGCGTGCTGTAGATGCGATGGGAATCAAAGCCTATGAGGTCAGGCGTCCAGTTGAGGGTAAAACGGGAAGAGGGGGGAGGGGAAGGGGAAGCGCCCTTGGAGCGTTGGAACATGCGCTGCAGGCAGTAGCTGGGCGTGCCGTAGATGCGGTGCGAGTCAAAGCCTATCAGGTCAGGGGTCCAACTGAGGGGGGCAAGGCAAGGGACGGAGGAGCATTCTGGAAATGCGATGCACAGCTGGGCGTGCCAGGCGGTGAGATTCAAAGCCTATCAAATCAGGGTTCCAGCTGAGGGGAAACAGGGATACAGCGGAAGGGGAAAATGACAAAATGCTCTTGGATCGTTGGATTGGAGATGCGCTGCAGGCCGTAGGTGGGTGAGCCGTAGATGCGGTGGGAGTGAAAGCCAAATAGATCAGGGGTCCAGCTGAGGGAGGCGGGTGAGGCAAGGGAGGGAGGAGCATGCCGAACATGCGATGCAGGCAGTTGGTGGGCGAAGAGGCGGTGCGAGGCGAAGCCCATGAGGTGAGGCGGCCAGCTGAGGGGGGGCGGAAGGAGGTGAGAAGTGAGAGAAGTGAGAGAGGGGAGAGAGGTGAGAGAGGGGAGAGAGGTGAGAGAGGGGAGAGAGGTAAGAGAGGTGAGAGAGGTGAGAGAGGTGAGAGAGGTGAGAGAGGTGAGAGAGGGGGGGCGGAAGGAGGTGAGAGAGGTTGTGGAAGGAGGTGAAGAGGCACGACGTGCAGGCAGTTGCTGGGTGTGAGTCAACAACACTACGTGGGGTGTCATGCTCCCACCATGCTCTCACTTTCTGCCATGCACCATGCTCTCACCTCCTGTCATGCACCATGCTCTCACCTCCTGTCATGCACCATGCTCTCACCTCCTGTCATGCACCATGCTCTCACCTCCTGTCATGCACCATGCTCTCACCTCCTGTCATGCACCATGCTCTCACCTCCTGTCATGCACCATGCTCTCACCTCCTGTCATGTACGTTGACCAGCAGAGGCGCGTAGCTGACCATCGCCACCACGTCACTGCAGGAGAAAGCACAAAGAAGGTTGTGGCAAAGAAGGGAAAGCACAATGGCGAACCACGAAGAGGGGCGTAGTTGACCATCGCCACCCCATCGCTGCCAGGGGGGTTGTAGCGGGGTGACTCACCCCAACGCTGCCAGGGGGGTTGTAGCGGGGTGACTGCCAGGGGGGTTGTAGCGGGGTGACTGCCAGGGGGGTTGTAGCGGGGTGACTGTCTTCTCTAGTAGGAGTGACTGACGAAGGTCGCGGGGTGCAAGAGGGGTGCAAGAGGGGTGCAAGAGGGGCGCAAGAGGGGTGCACATAAGGTGAGGCAAGGGCAAGGGAGAGCTGCGAGAATTTATTCGTATTCGAAGCTATTCAATTCACATTCGAATTCGTATTCCAAATGTAAATTCCCCTATGTATTCGAAAATTAATTAAAAAAAGGGTATCCGTATTCGTATTTGTTTTTGTACCCTTAGCAGGGAGGAGCAGAGAGGAGGCCCACCTGTTTCGTTCCAGTCCGATGAGGAAGCCCGCTTCTGCCACTGCTGCCCGCACGTTGCCATCCCCACCCCCCCCTTGCACTGCGAACTCGCTCAGAAAGGCCTGCAAAGAGAGAGGGAAAGGGGAAGAGGGGGAGAGGGGGAGAGGGGGAGAGGGGGAGAGGGGGAGAGGGGGAGAGGGGGGGAGGGGGAGAGGGGGAGAGGGGGAGAGGGGGAGAGGGGGAGAGGGGGAGAGGGGGAGAGGGGGGGAGGGTAAGAGGGGAGAAGGGGAGAGGGGGATTAGATGGAGGAGAGAAAAGGCCTCCCCCGGACACTACCCTTCCCCAGAACACTACCCTTGCCCGGGACACTACCCTTGCCCGGGACACTACCCTTGCCCGGGACACTACCCTTCCCCGGACACTACCCTTCCCCAAAACGTGGGACGAGGGGAAAGACAGTGAAGGAGGGCCGCACGCGGAAGAAAAGGGGAGGCAAGGGGCGGGAGGGGGGAGAGGAGGGGAGAAGAGAGGAGGGGAGAAGAGGGGAGAAGAGAGGAGGGTAGAGGAGAAGAGGGGAGAAGAGTGGAGGGGAGAAGAGTGACCGGCAAATGGCCATTGGCCCGTCAACAAGACTCAGAGCAGTCGCTGATTCGGGCGGGAACATCAGTGATTCGCTGATTCCAGGACAGGAAAACAGGTCTGGTATGGCGAGGATATAGCAGCAACATTGGATTCTAAATCAACTGCCCGACCCTCACTCGTCACCTTTTCTCCATCCGTGCTGACGTCACCTTGGGTCCACCCCTGCTGACGTCATCAAAGTAGCGGCCCAGGTTGAAAATGCCCTCTGCTGTCCCAAAGGACTGATTCCACGCACATGCAGACGCGCATGCATGAGGCGAAGGCAATGCATGCGTGAGGGGAAGGCATCACACAGTGGAAGCGAATTCGAAACGAGAGACCATGAGAGCCTCACATGGAGGGGCTCCCGCAAATATAAGACGCAAGACGCATGGCACTTGCAGAATACGCGTGTGTACCGCCCACCACATAACAACCAGCGCACACATGGCAAGCACAGCGGTTGGTGGGAGGGTGGTCTGGAGCCCACCTGCTGCTGACATCGCGCACGCCCGCCGAACACACAAAACACACGCACACACTCGCACGCGCGCCCACACACACACACACACACACACACACACACACACACTCACACACACACTCGCACACATACCTACGCATGCCACAAACACACCCCCACCAAACACACCCCCACAAATCGAGTTGTAGGATTTTTTTTAGAATTCTCAAAAATCACTCACACAGATACCCACGCTACAAATCCACCCCTGCCACAAACACTCCCCCGCCACAAACACACCCCCGCCACACACACACACCCCCCACAACCACACCCCCCCACAAACACACCTCCGCCACAAGCACTCCTCCGCCACAAGCACTCCCCCGCCACAAGCAGTCCCCCGCCACAAGCAGTCCCCCGCCACAAGCACTCCCCCGTCACAAGCATTCCCCCGCCACAAGCACTCCCCCGCCACAAGCACTCCCCCGCCACAAGCACTCCCCCGCCACAAGCACTCCCCCACCACAAGCACTCCCCCGCCACAAGCACTCCCCCGCCATACATGGAAATCGTATAGATCCGTCGGGGGGTGGTCAGGAGGCCCCCTGCTGACGTCACAAGTGTACACCACTGCCATGTCGGGATATGCTGCCTTGATTGCCGCCTGGAAGCGCAGGAAGTTGCCTGGACGGTGGGAAGACGGGGGAAGGGATGGACGGCTGCTGAATGATTGAGCCAGCTGGCAGAGCAGGAGGAGACTACCAGATCGCCAGGAAGCATGATTCCGGTATTAACTGATGTAGGCCTTACCTGACTCACACCTTACCTCTACAGTGTGGCCCATGGCCCGTGGCCCGTGGCCAGTGGCTCGATTCCGGCCTAACCTGATTCAGGCCTTACCTGACTCGGGCCTTACCTGACTCACACCTTACCTTTGTAGTGCGGCCCGTGGCTGCCAGTGCGGTGCGGAAGGGGGAAAGAAGGTTGAGCCCTCACCTCGGTAGTTGTCCTGGTAGCAGTTCTCGTTGCCGATGCCCACGTGCCGCAGATCAAACGGCTCTGGATGGCCCATGGCCGCCCTCTCCGCTCCCCACCGCGAATCCGACGGCCCTCGTGCAAACTCGATTCCATCAAGCACCTCCTGTGGTGCCACGTGGTAGAAAAAGGGGTTGGGAAGGGAGGGATGCAGCAAGGGATGAATTTGAGACCTTGGAAGTGCATCAGTTACTGGGAAAACGCAACATAAACAAAAACAGGTATTTTGCAGTCTAAATCGAAAGAGATTTATAGGGAGTATACGGCCGTCTTATGGGAGAATATGTGATTCGAGCGTAAGACAGGGAGAAGGAGGCTACCTGAATGAAGGGAGCAAGGGCGCCCGTGAAAACGCTGTCTGTGTGGCTGTTGCCTGCATGCATGCATGTGCAGATCGAGGGCAAAAGGACATGGTTGCGGAAGGGAGTATTAAGCCCTTTCAATTTCAGCGAAGACCTTCCTTCGAGAATTGCCAGGCACTCTTGAAAGCATCGATGGGAACCTTATCACGCGCACCGCTGTTGAAGACCCAAACAGGTGTGGCCCCAACGTCCTCTGCGAACTGCAGATACTCAAAGAAGCCCAACCCGTCATCCGACCAATAGCCCCACCTGGTGGGATGTGTGTGGGGGATGGGGATGCGAGTAGAGAGGGATGTCGGATGTGAATGGCCTGTAACGTCCTGTGCAAACTGCAGTTACTCGAAGAAGCCCAAACCATCGTCCGACCAATAGCCCCACATGGTGGGGTATGTGTGGGAGATGGGAATAGAGGAAAGCTGTCAGCATGTCAGCATGTCAGCATGTCAGCTGTGTCTGTGTGGTGCCAACATCCTTTGCCAGCTGCAGCTATGCCATCTCAAGGCATTCGCCAGACGCGCACCCTCCACATAGCAGTCATGCTCTTGAGGCACGGTGACTCACCTGCTACCAACCCATGTCGCGAGCCCACCTGTCGTTGAAGTGCCCTGGGCGGAGTTCCCAAGGGCCGATGGTGGGCCGCCATCTGAAGGCATTGGCCAGCCGCACGCCCTCCACATAGCAGCCCCCCGGGAAGCGCATGAAGCCGGGGGAGAGGCCCTGCAGCATGGTGGCTATGTCCCTGCGCATGCCATGGGCCTACATGGGGTACATGGGTACATGCGTGCATGAGTGCTTATGCATATGGCACTGAAATTTATAGCAGGACGGATGTCAGTGGGCATGGCACATGGCACATGTCACGTAGCGCATGGAACATGGCACAGTGGTCCCATGAGCCCAAGGCCACCCACCCCAGCCTTGAAGGCCGTCGACCTAAGCTTACAAGTCCCCCATCCCAACTTTGGCAGTACCCAACCCACCTTGAACGTGTCTGCAGGCATGGCTGACACCTGGTCCAACCACAGAGTGCCACGTGTCATGCTGTCAGTGGTGATGGCCAGCGAGGCATTGTGGCACGTGCCGGACGCAGTGATGGTGGCCTCATAGCGGTGCCACGTGGCAGCCATGGATTGGTTGAGGCTGAAGGCAGTAGAGGGTATAATGATAAGTGACGAATGGGTTTGAGCAATGTCATTAATAATGCAATGTTGGGGTTTAGAATGTGGTGAGCACATGGGGGCACGAAGAGTTACAATGTAGCATACAGCGCATTCAAGGGCGCCACACTCAATAGCGCCCACACCCAAGAGCGCCACACTCGCATTCAAGGGCGCCACACTCAATAGCGCCCACACCCAAGAGCGCCACACTCAATAGCGCCACACTCAAGAGCGCCCACACCCAAGAGCGCCTGATGAGACTGGTGGAAGCACAGCATTGGAAGCGATAACGATGAGCGTCACAGCATTGATTGAAGAAAGGGGGAGTTAGTAGCATCATAGGTATCAAATCTTATCATGTACCTGATGTGGGCTGAACCAGCGCAGGCGATCGAGGAGGGGGGGAGTTGAGGTGGGCGGGCGGAGGAGCAGAAGAACGCGAGGCGGAGGGAGAGGGGAGCGGTGGCACGAGCATGCAGGATGATGTTGTACACATGGCCCTGCTGGATGTTCTGATGACATGATGGCATGTTGGCATGATGGCATGATGGCATGATGGCATGATGGCATGATGGCCCCATGGCAACGGGCAGAGAGAAGGATGGGTATGGGTAAAGCTGGCAGGGATGGATGGCATGGAGAGAGTGACATGGTATATGTGGCACAACATGTGGCAATGAGACATCTTGGCGAACGCGCATAAACAATGGGGATGCCCTCAGTAAAACGTAAAGAGAAAGACATGGGTGACCGAGGAAGCATTGGTTTCCTCACCATACCCCAGTAACCAGGATTAAGCACCCCCACACCATCAGCGCACACATGCCCCTGCCCTCTTTCCTCCATGCTCCCCCCCTCCCCCTCCTCGCTGCGTCTCTCCCTCCCCCCGCCATCCGCAGCAGCACCAGGCACCACCTCCCTCCCCCCACCGTCAGCAGCACCACCTTTCCCTGGCTTTCCTCCCACGGACTCAGCACCTTCCAGCCGCATGCCAAGCCAGCCGCCCAGCCACCGAGCCACAGTCTGCCACGTGTCCACCACAGGGACCAGCTTGGGCATCAAAGGCAGCCCCACACGCACAGGTCCATGCGGACTCGCTTCTCCATCTGCCACCCCTAAAAGCGCTCCTACAGCAGTCTTCGCTGCGTCTTCACCGTGCGTACTGCCACGCTGCACGGCACGCTCCCCTGCGGATGCGAACAGCCTCCGGGCCCCCCATCCAGAGGGCAATCCTGAGCCCTGCTGCGCTTCTCCCTCTGAGGGGAATTCCAGGTGCGCCTCATCCTCGACTTCAAACCCTAATCCCTCCTCGCCTTGCGCCGGCCGCTGCTTTTCTCTGTGTGGGGCTGCTGCGCGGCTGCCACCAAGAGGCAGCTCAGCAGCAGGGCTGTAGTCGGCAGGAGGCGGCGGGGCGTGGGCAGAAGGCCGGGGGGCGCAGTGGATGTCGATGCGCAGGGCGATGGGGTTGCGGGGGAAGGGCGAGCAGCGCTCCGTGCTTAGCAGCACGTGGGGCTCCGACCCGATGGGCAGCCATGGGTGGATGGTGGACGGCGTCTCCTGGCCGCCCGCTTCGAACCCTGCAGTGAGGGGATGGAGTGCGAGAGGAATCGGTGAGGGTGGGTGGGGGTGGGTGGGACAGCGGGTGTAGCAGTGGAGCTAGAGAATGGATAAGTGTGAGTATGAATGCCTGTAACAGGGGCGTGCAGCAGTGAGAGGGGGTTTAAAGTTTCGGGTTTCGGGTTTTGGGAACTCACTAATTCCAATGTCTAATCTATTCTACTCCTCCTCCTCCCCTCCCTTTCTCCTCCATTCCCAATGTCCACATTCTCATCCCCCTTTTGAACCCCCATTCAAAGCAGTCTCCCCACTTCCCCCCTTTCCCCACTTCCCCCCTTTCCCCACTTTCCCCCTTTCCCCCTCCCCCCCGTCCCCCGCTTGACTCTGTTCTGCACGAGCTCCGCGTACAGCCCTCCCGCCTCCCTCTTCCCGCTTGTCCGTTTCTCCTTCCCCTTTCCCCCTATTTCCCTCGTCCACTTTCCCCCCGTTCCCCCCTTTGCCCCCTGTCCCCCCTGTCCCCCCTGTCCCCCCTGTCCCCCCTGTCCCCCTGTCCCCCTGTCCCCCTGTCCCCCCTGTCCCCCTTCCCCGCTTGCCTCTGTTCTGCACGAGCTCCGCGTACAGCCCTCCCGCCCCTCCGTGGTTGATCTCCTGCGCTCACACACACACGCACACGCACAGCGGCCAGACACGTGGACCCACAGACACGTGGACCCACAGACACGTGGACGCACAGATAGGAGGTGTCGGGAAAAATGTTCACTTGCGAGATAGAAGGCGAGGGAGCGGGATGGTGGAAGGAGCATCTCAATAGAGGGCACGGAGCGAACGGGCTCGGGACGAACGGGCACCTCGAGAAAAATGCCGAAGAATGATGGCGAGATCGGACGGCCTTGCGCCGCTCCATCGACGGTCAGGACAACTTGATCAGCTACATGTTCAACGTGCACGCTAGACTCCGCACGCGCAATGGCAGTATCCGTATCATTGCCCGTGTGTGCTGGGAAGGCGAAGGTTCTACTAGTAGTGGCTGACGCGGAGGCGGGAAGGTTGTGCTCGGACGCTAGGCTGGGAAGGGCTTTAAGTGTGGGGCCGAGGTGGTTGAAAGCGGCGAGAAGAACGAGAAGAGCGACGAGGAGGAGAAGAGTGCACGGGAGGGTGGGGTGCTTCCTAACTCGGATTCTGCCTGAGTATGCAAGAGGAGCCATGTCGACAGAATCCGCTAGGGAACGAAAGCCCTGGAGATTTTGGGCTGGGCAAGCAAGGCTGCCGACATTGTACGCGACATTACGGCAACTCGATAACACAATACACGGTCAGGTCGGCTAAGGCGAAGGTAAAAGAGCAACCAAACAAACCAGAATGCAACTGCTTTTACAAGGAAGCATAATTAGTGTAACTACTAGCACAAAGGCTGTGTCTTTGATTTTACACCCATGTGAATTATAACTGGATAGGCTTACTGAAATTTAATCTACAACCACATAGTTGTTAGGGAAGATAAGGTGGGGGTTGTCAATGTTGGGGTTGAGTTCCGCAATCTCCTTCCAATTGCGCTTCCCAACCTGCTTCGAGATGTTGGTGAGAGTATCTCCCTTCCTTATTTGGTATTTTTTCCTGCAATGACACAAGAATAACGATCGGAGCGAGAATGATAAGACAATCATCGTGTACACTTAGCAAGAATGAAATGCCAACTCAGATGCTCAGAAGAACTCACCTTGATGGTCGGAACAGCAGCATCACAGCTACAAAAGCTATCGCCCCTCCAACAATAGCAGTCCAAGGGGCATGTGACGCTGCCCGAGGAGACGACGGGCAGGATGAAAATTCAGACTCCAAGTCCACTTCTGCTTCCGAATAGCCGACAGTTGTAACAGTTGCAGAGCGGTCAGTGAGCGAGGAGTTTGTCCCGGCTGATGTGGTAACCGCATCGGGCGACAGATCACGAGACGCATCCAGGCTGGCATAAAGGCTGCCTGGGCCTTCTGCTGATGCTGAGAGGCGGTCGGAGGGAGGAGGCCAGACCATGTGGGGGTCCAGTCTTGAGACTGGAGTGGGTGCAACATCTGGGACGCTCTTCTTCTCAGTTTCCTCAAAGCCAGGTTCAAACCCCTTGCTGACAATGCCTGACACTTTCCCCTTGCCCTTCTTATTCTTCAACTCCTTCCCATCGTGGCTTCCTACCTTGCTACCCGCAGCAGCGGCACCACTACCACCACCATCAGCACCACCATCAGCAGCCCCACCACCCAAAGCGCTACCCCAGCCAGATAGATCGCTGTTGTTCTCTGAGCCTGATTGGCTGGCCGGCACGTCCTCCCTCCCCCACCCGCGCCTGTAGTTGGGCCCCATGAACTCCCGCACTGCCCGATCCACCAACCCCCCTTCTGCTGGCATGCGCTTCGCAGCACTTACTGTTGCCGCTGCTGACGCCGGCTCAAAGTCAATGGCCTGGTATGGGGGAGAGGGGAGATGCATGGCTGTAGTTTCAGGGAATAGCGAGAGTCCAAGAAATGTGGCTTTTAAGAATGTCACGGATTGTTTTTACAGAAGCGAGCTCTGACTACAAATGGCATCCAGCTTGAGCCCGATGACATCTACGAGACATCAGAACTCCGTGCATCTACCTGACAAAGAACGGCACACTTCAGCATCTAACTCTGGCCTCACCAGGATGCCAGCGGCTCTCAGCCTGAGCGCGAGCGCGCGGATGCAGAGGCACACGCGGCGAGTGCCTTTCTTCTCGACCACGTCCGTTGACGTGAACAGGTCGATGGCGCTCAGGCCAAACTCCTTGCACATCTGGCATGGGAATACAGGGCAGAAATGAATCACTTGGGGGGAATGCTCAGACGACAGGCGACGAGAATCAAACCAAGTGAGGGATGGAGCATAGGGGGCTGAATAACAGACCATGTACATTGGCAGAGGCTATCAGTGTGGGGCCATGACAACACGTGGTGGGACGAGGTGATCCATGTAGGCCGTGGCGGGTTATCACAGCATGTGTGTCTGAATCATTGGAAGGAGGGGAAGTACCGTGAGGAAGTTATCAGTGAGGATCATTGCGTCCCACTTGCTCTTCGTGCCCCACCCCTGCTGCTGCTGCTGCTGCTGCTGCTGTTGCTGCCGCTGGTTGTTCCCAGCCCCCTTTGGTCTGAACGGCGAGAGGAGTTCAGTCAGGCGTGACCTGATGGCAGAAGGCAAAGCGGAAATAAGCGTTGTTAAATTACATAAGCACAGAACGAAACGGAAGTGTATAGAACTAAAGATTGCCCAAAAGCACCTGACGTGGCGAGACATTTAGCAATGAAAATCAACTCACAGGATCATGCCGTCTGCAAGACAGTCGGCTATGGCGGTATTAGGAGGTATATTCTCTTTCAACACTGCTTCTAGCCAGTTCCGGACTCGGACCTGCATGCGACGGCACCAAACAGAACCACGCACACGCGCACGGCTGGTAACCACGGAAAAGGAGCACCTACTAGAGGACGCGTTTCTCAGGCACCACGACATGGCGCTGCGTCACCAAACAGCCTCGAAAAGAATACCAGCGGTACCTCGAGAATGCCGTCGACGAAAGGATCCCATTTCGCCCTGGAGCCCATCGTTAGGCCTGCTCTGTCGTCCCCTGAAGCGGACGGCAAAGATGGCAGGACGGCGTGCCACGGACCCGAGGGGATCGGGATGGAGCTGACGCGTGAGAGAAACGGCTGGCGATCGCACGTGGAACAGAGCTGCAGCTCGTAAATAAAGATGGCGATCCAAAGTACGGTGACGCGTGTGAGAATAGAGCAGACGCGTGAGAAGAGAGCCTACGGGTCACAGTAAAACTGAATCGTGCCCTACAACTCTAAGCTGGTCAGAAAGCGCGTTTGACATTGACCGGAACATTTAAGACTTTCCCACCATCAGCAACTGAGAGCTCCGATTTGACATTTCGATTATCTTCAGGAACCTCTAGCGGAACAAAGGGGGAGATCTCACAAGAACAGAGCACTGAGAAAGTGGAGAGTGGTGAAGGGTGCCTAGGCAGCAGGGCGGAAGCCCCTAGTTCCGAAAATGATCTCGGGTTTCGACCCTCTGACAAAAAGGTCTGGCGAAAGGTGTTCATCCGACTTGCTTGGCGGACGGCCTAGGAAATCTCCACAGGTTTCAGCATTTCCAAGGCGAACGAGGAAAATAATGTGTCGACGATACGGGTTACCCTTTATTATACTGTTACATGCAGTTTTACTCGGGTAGAGTCACATCGCTTTCGAACTTCACTTCCTGCAATCACATTCTGTCATGATAGCTTCAAGGCCGTCCTGTCAGGACAGGATGTTTCGAAGGTGCAAGGCCAGCCTGATCACCCTTGTTGAATTTGGCTCTTTTGGCTTGGCTCTTGGCTGATCAGACTATCCATCCTAGCTTGAGAAATCTGAAGATAGACTGAACTCCTTGGCTGGACTCCTTGGCTGAATGCCGTTCCGGTGTCGGAACTGGTCAATTAGCAGAACTGGATTCATTATCGTCAAGTGAACCGCCAAGTATCGTGTATTATTATTACACGCCATTGCGGGCTAACGACTGCGTACGGAGATGGATCTTTCGTCTCCGTCGTTCAGACTGGGCGAAGCTTTCTAGCAGCGCGAGCTGAGAACGGTCGATGTCTCCACGATCTCGTGTTCTGAAGCAACGGAAGCACATGTTTCCCTCAAGGGTAATTCCTCACTCCTTACAGCATCACTGTTGATTGTCAAGCCAAGTTCGACATCCCATGGCTGAAGGCCGACTCCAACGCTCCTCGGTGCTATCATCTACCTTATCGCGTCGGCTCCTCTCCATTGCCTACCGTCTCGTCACGATTCTGATGCTTGCGTCTGACGTGTCACCGCTCTGATTCTTGTTTCTGATCCGTCACCGCTGATCATTTGCCTCTGAAATTCCCCCTCGACGGCTCGTTCCAGATGCGTCAATTGCCGCTGCCAGCGCTGACCGGCTCTCGCCTTGTATGGCTGGTAGTCTGGGCTGCAGTCGCGGCGCTGGTGGTTGTGCAACTCGCACCGAGAATGCCGGGAAGCTCTCAAGTATTGGACATGGACGAAGAGCGAGAGAATGACGAAAATGACACGTCGCAAGCAGATCCGTTACAGATGCTGCAGCGACAAGGGATTGCATACGATGTCGTTCCAGTAAGACTCGCCGTATTGCAATCATTCAAAATTTCAGGCCATGAGACCACGGTGCTATCCATATTCCACGGTTCCTTATCACCCCGTCCTACATTCCTCATTGGGTCGTCTTGGCATGAATCTCCAGCCTCCTTACTCCGTGCCATCTTCTCCGTGTCATTGGGTTGTCTTATCTCTGTCACAGATTCGCGCTCCCTCTCAGATCCACCTGCCTTCAGACAGCCAGTCTCTTACGCAGCCAAGTAGAAGTTTCAGAGAGCAAGAGCCAGAGCAGCTCCTTGTGCCAGCATCAGAGCCCAGCAGCCTAAGCTACAAGGTGGGTGGATAGCTGCAACCTAGAGTAGTAGGATGAGCGTTGACGGGTTATCTTGCTTGCATGTTGTGGTCTTGTGATGAACGTCTGATGCCTCATTCACAGCAGCATCATGCTGTGCTCAGCCACATTGACACGTCGTTGTGCCACGCGGTCCCATGTGCCATGACATCCCATGTGCCACGTCAGGCAGAGGACCTTCAGAAGCGGCTATGGCAGAACCCCCCAGCGCATGGCTACGGGCCATGTGTGGAGCCCAGTGACAGCTACAAGCGAGGTGGGCAGGGGAGAGAGGTAGGGAAGAAAGGGGCTTGCAGGGAGCACATTATTGGTGGACGATGGATGGGCAGGAAGGTGAGATGGGAAACGAGAAGCTTTGGGCCACTCTTGTCTTCTTGATTCTGACCTTAGTTGGTCAATTACGCCTAGACCACCTCCGTAAACGTAATGTTACGCGTAAACGTACTTTACCTTACTTACTCGTAATTACTCGTACATTTTGGCAGGCAGCTTTGAAAAAATTCTGGCCGGGGTGACAAACAGAACCAAGAGCAAAAAAAACAGCCCTAGGATGCGCGAGATTGCGGCTAGGGTTACCTATGTGGAAAACAGACTAAGTCAAGGAGATCAGGAGTGTGGGTGGATTTGAAGTTATGAGAGGAAGACCGAGAAGGGTTGTTGCGGGAGAAGGGGGATTGGGGGGAGCATAGTTCAGTCAGTGCACACACTTTTTAGCAGAGGTGGGTACCCCTTCATGGTAAACACCTAGATCTAGGGCAGGCCCAAAACTTTTTAACCTGCCCACAGACGTAAAGCCATTCTTGGTACGCAAACGTACGCGTAAACGAAAGGCGTAAACGTGCGTACACGTACACGTAATTGACCAACTAAGATTCTGACTAATAGATGCTTTTTAAGGGAATGCTTTCTTATTTTTATCTGTGTGTATATTTTTGCTCGTTTGTCCCATGAATGCTTTGCACGGCACTGCATGATACGACATGGAATGGGCCAGCCAGTGTGGAGAGAGGCAGCAGGAGTCGAGGGTATCTGACGGTGCATGCCAACGGGGGGCTCAACCAGATGCGAGCTGGGGTACGTACGACATGCATACACCTCTTTTATACATGCTTGCCTCACACGCCCTCCGTTTCTCATGCCTGCCCGGCACACATGCCTGCTTTCATGCATGCCAATGGAGGGCTCAACCAGGTGCGAGCTGGGTACGACATGCATGCACCGCTGCCTCCCCTGCCCTTCGCTATTGTCACATGCAGATCTGTGACATGGTGGCTGTGGCGCGGATCCTCAACGCCACTCTTGTTGTTCCTGAGCTCGATAAGAGCTCCTTCTGGCAGGACTCCAGGTGCGTTGCGTCTCCTGGCAGGACTCCAGGTGCGTTGCGCCTCCTGGCAGGACTCCAGGTGCGTTGCGCCTCCTGGCAGGACTCCAGGTGCGTTGCACCTCCTGGCAGGACTACAGGTGCGTTGCGCCTCCTGGCAGGACTCCAGGTGCGTTGCGCCTCCTGGCAGGACTCCAGGTGCGTTGGTTCAGACTCCAGGTGTGGTTTCAGACTCTTAAGTATGGTTTGAAAACTCTCAGGTGTGCCTTCAGGCGCTGGATCTGTTAAGGGTTTGGCGATGGAATACCAACCTTCTGGTCTGGTCCCGCTGTTGTTTTGCCCTTTTCTCTGGTGCGAGCTTGCCTTGCAAAATGTAGTAGTTACTTCTGTGTGCTCTTTTGTAGCCCGTCCCTGCCCTGCTCGTCATGCCTCCTGAAGCACACGACCGCTTTTAGCAGTAAATCCTTGGACATTTTCCAGTGAGCGCGGCGTCAGTAGACAGGTTAGCAAGTTGGAAAAAACAGTAAATTAAATGCTTATGTTAACAAAACGTAGTAGTTACTTCTGTGTGCACTTTTGTAGCCCGTCCCTGCCCTGTGCGTCATGCCTCCTGAAGCACACAACCGCTCCTAGCAGTCTCTCCGCCCAACCTCCTCGCCCCCCTTCTCCCCCCACCAAACCCCTTCCAGCAACTTCTCTGACGTGTTTGACACGGACCACTTCATCTCAGCCCTCGCATCCGACGTGCCTGTGGTGCGGCGCCTGCCGAAAGAGCTCAAGTACGCAGAGGTGAAGCGCGTGCACTTCACCAGCTGGTCGCCCCTCTCGTACTACTCCAAGGAGATCGGACGATACTGGCGCCAATACAAGGTAGGCGTTGAGTTGACTCTGGGGGTCCGTGTGGTGCCCTTGCACGGGCCTGTGGTGCAGCGCTTGCCCAGCGAGCGCCATTACAAGGTGGGCAAGTGGTGTTATTTGTAACGTCTGGATGCTGTTCAAGCGCGTGTGCTTCGCCGGTCGCCCCTCTCGTACTACTTTAAGGAGATCGGGACAGACTCCAGACCCCAGACTCCAGGCCCCAGACTCTAGACCCCAGACTTCAGACCCCAGACTCCAGACCCAAGACTTCAGGCCCCAGACTCTAGAACCCAGACTTCAGACCCCAGACTTCAGACCCCAGACTTCAGACCCCAGACGTCGGACCCCAGACTTCAGACCCCAAACTTCGGACCCCAGACTTCAGACCCCACCAGACTTCAGACCCCAGACTCCAGACCCCAGACTACAGACCCCAGACTTCAGACCCCAGACTACAGACCCCAGACTACAGACCCCAGACTTCAGACCCCATACTTCAGACCCCAGACTTCAGACCCCAGACTTCAGACCCCAAACTTCAGACCCCAGACTTCAGACCCCAGACTTCCGACCCCAGACCCCAAATGTCAGACCCCAGACTTCAGACCCCAGACTACAGACCCCAGACTTCAGACCCCAGACTACAGACCCCATACTTCAGACCCCAGACTTCAGACCCCAGACTACAGACCCCAGACTTCAGACCCCATACTTCAGACCCCAGACTTCAGACCCCAGACTTCAGACCCCAAACTTCAGACCCCAGACTTCAGACCCCAGACTTCCGACCCCAGACCCCAAATGTCAGACCCCAGACTTCAGACCCCAGACTACAGACCCCAGACTTCAGACCCCAGACTACAGACCCCATGCTTCAGACCCCAGACTACAGACCCCAGACTTCAGACCCCAGACTTCAGACCCCAGACTTCAGACCCCAGACTACAGACCCCAGACTTCAGACCCCATGCTTCAGACCCCAGACTTCAGACCCCAGACTTCAGACTCCAGACTTCAGACCCCAGACTTCAAACCCCAGACTTCAGACCCCAGACTACAGACCCCAGACTTCAGACCCCAGACTTCAGACCCCAGACTTCAGACCCCAGACTACAGACCCCATGCTTCAGACCCCAGGCTACAGACCCCAGACTTCAGACCCCAGACTTCAGACCCCAGACTTCAGACTCCAGACTTCAGACCCCAGACTTCAAACCCCAGACTTCAGACCCCAGACTACAGACCCCAGACTTCAGACCCCAGACTTCAGACCCCAGACTTCAGACCCCAGACTACAGACCCCATGCTTCAGACCCCAGACTTCAGACCCCAGACTACAGACCCCATGCTTCAGACCCCAGACTTCAGACCCCAGACTTCGGACCCCAGACTTCAGACCCCAGACTTCGGACCCCAGACTTCGGACCCCAGACTTCGGACCCCAGACTTCAGACCCCAGACTTCAGACCCCAGACTAGAGACCCCAGACTTCAGACCCCAGACTACAGACCCCAGGCTTCAGACCCCAGACTACAGACCCCATGCTTCAGACCCCAGACTTCAGACCCCAGACTTCAGACCCCAGACTTCAGACCCCAGACTTCAGACCCCAGACTTCAGACCCCAGACTTCAGACCCCAGACTTCAGACCCCAGACTACAGACCCCAGGCTTCAGACCCCAGACTACAGACCCCATGCTTCAGACCCCAGACTTCAGACCCCAGACTTCAGACCCCAGACTTCAGACCCCAGACTTCAGACCCCAGACTTCAGACCCCAGACTTCAGACCCCAGACTTCAGACCCCAGACTTCAGACCCCAGACTTCAGACCCCAGACTTCAGACCCCAGACTTCAGACCCCAGACTTCAGAACCCAGGCTTTATAACTCAGACTTGAAACCCCAGACGTGAGACCCCAGACTTGAGACCCCGGCCTTCAGACGGCCTTGCCAACTTTAGCCGTTCTATCATACCCCGTGTTCCCCACAACGGTATTTCGATCATTCTGTTTCTTTCTCTGGCTCTCATCTCAGGTGCTTCGGGCGTTGAAGACGGATTCCCGCCTGCCCAACAACAGCCTGCCTCCCATATCCCTTGTCTGTGCTCACCTTGCTCTTTCTATCATCCTCTTTTGTTCACTTGCTCTCAGGTGCTTCGAGCATTGAAGACGGATTCCCGCCTGGCCAACAACGGCTTGCCTCCTGACATTCAGAAGCTGCGCTGCCGGGTGCACTTTGAGGCGCTGCGCTTTGCGCCACACATACAGGCGTTCGGAGAGGTACAGTGCGGTGGACATACAGGTGTTCGGAGAGGTACAGTGCGGTGGACATGCAGGCGTTTGGAGAGGTACAGTGCGGTGGACATGCAGGCGTTCAGAGTGGTACAGTGCGGTGCACATACAGGCGTTTGGAGAGGGACAGTGCGGTGCACATACAGGCGTTCGGACAGGTACAGTGCTATACATGCGTTCGCACAGGTATCCCCAAAGTGAGGTTGACTGTTGGGGTTAATTGCATCCTAAAGGGTTTTTTACATTGCAGGCTTTCCCCACAGTTCCCCCCCATAAGCTTGCTTTGAGGCGCCTCAAAAACAGGCCCCCCCCGTAAGCTTTCTTTGAGGCGCCTCAAAAACAGGCCCCCCCCGTAAGCTTTCTTTGAGGCGCCTCAAAAACAGCCCCCCCCCGTAAGCTTTCTTTGAGGCGCCTCAAAAACAGGCCCCCCCCGTAAGCTTTCTTTGAGGCGCCTCAAAAACAGGCCCCCCCCGTAAGCTTTCTTTGAGGCGCCTCAAAAACAGCCCCCCCCCGTAAGTTTTCTTTGAGGCGCCTCAAAAACAGGCCCCCCCCGTAAGCTTTCTTTGAGGCGCCTCAAAAACAGGTCCCCCCGGTAAGCTTTCTTTGAGGCGCCTCAAAAACAGGCCCCCCCCGTAAGCTTTCCCTGCGACTCCCCTGGGCTTTTTCGCGCAGCCCCCCCCCCCGCTTTTCCCCACGCCCCCCAGCGTGCTGCTCTGGTGAGATGAGCATGCTCTAGTGAGTCGAGTGTGCTCTAGTGAGACGAGCGTGCTCTAGTGAGTCGGGCGCGCTCCAGGCGCACTCTAGTGAGAGGGCGTGCTCTAGTGAGATGAGCGCCCTCTAGTGAGAGGGCGTGCTCTAGTGAGATGAGCGCCCTCTAGTGAGAGGGCGTGCTCTAGTGAGATGAGCGCCCTCTAGTGAGAGGGCGTGCTCTAGTGAGATGAGCGCCCTCTAGTGAGAGGGCGTGCTCTAGTGAGATGAGCGCCCTCTAGTGAGAGGGCGTGCTCTAGTGAGATGAGCGCCCTCTAGTGAGAGGGCGTGCTCTAGTGAGATGAGCGCCCTCTAGTGAGAGGGCGTGCTCTAGTGAGATGAGCGCCCTCTAGTGAGAGGGCGTGCTCTAGTGAGATGAGCGCCCTCTAGTGAGAGGGCGTGCTCTAGTGAGATGAGCGCCCTCTAGTGAGAGGGCGTGCTCTAGTGAGATGAGCGCCCTCTAGTGAGAGGGCGTGCTCTAGTGAGATGAGCGCCCTCTAGTGAGAGGGCGTGCTCTAGTGAGATGAGCGCCCTCTAGTGAGAGGGCGTGCTCTAGTGAGATGAGCGCCCTCTAGTGAGACGAGCGCGCTCTAGTGAGATGAGCGCCCTCTAGTGAGACGGGCGTGCTCTAGTGTCCTCACAGCTGGCCTCACAACTGGCCTCACAGTGGTTTGGCACCACCCTGTGAGTTTTCCGAGTGGATCCCCACCAACCCGAGTTGTTTCTAAGTGGTTTGCCACCACCTCGAGTGGTTCTCGGATGGTTTGCCACCACGCCACTGTATTTGAGTGGTTTGCCACCACCTTAAGTGGTTTCCGTTCCGAGTGGTTTGCCTCCACTCTGAGTGGTTGCCAAGTGGTTTGCCACCACCCCAGTGCAACCCCCCGCAGGCTTTCCCCGTGCACCGCCTTCGGGTCTTTCCCTGTGCACCGCCTTCAGGCGTTTCCGTACATCGGGTGCAAAGAGATGGCTCGTACGTTGCTTTGCAGCTGAGATGCGCGAAGGGCATCTACTCTGTCGCACACAGTAGCTGCTCGCATTAAAACCCGCGGCCCAAATTGCGAGGCGCGGCCTCCAAACGCAGTGCGTTTGAAAGTTGCGTTTTCGTGGGTGTATTGGGGGGTAACGAGACTCTCGTCACTCAGGGGTGCCTTTCAATTTCACTGTGGAATGTAATTTGGAACACCAGGTGCTGAGCGTTTTTCAACCGTCCAGTTTTTCCAGATTTTCATCTGACGGCGCGTAAGCCAGGCACTTCTCCCAGTTAGGCAAAAGGTAATCTCATCCGTCAAACTGTGAGTTTGTAAATCTGGCGGTTCACGACAAGCGTTGAATTTGCGAGAGTAAACGCCCTCGCGATTTTCCAGCGGATTCCGTACAGCCTGAGGGTCAAAGTTCATACGCAGTGCGTTTGAACAATTTGGGCCGCGGGTTTTAATTTTGCAGGGTGTTCTTGAAAAACACCCTGCTGAGATGTGAGAAGGGCATATGCTCTGTCGCACACAGTAGCTGCTCGCATTATACCCCATCCCACTCTGTCCCATCCCCATCCCTTCTCTCCCCCCCGGAACACCAGCAGCGAGTGAGTGGCGAGTGCGCAAAGACGGCCCCTGTGTGGCACTGCACCTGAGATACGAGGAGGACATGCTGGCCTTGAGCGGTGCTCATGGTTTACCCCATTGTTGTTAGCCATGATAGAAGGGAGCAGCGGGTGCTCATGTTTTACCCCATACCACCCCGTTGATCTGCACCCTCCAACACCAGGAGCTAGTGCGGCGAGTACGTAAGGACGGCCCCTATGTGGCGCTGCACCTGAGATACGAGAAGGACATGCTGGCCTTCAGCGGGTGCTCCCATGGGCTGACCCAGGCACAGGCAGACGAGCTCACTGCCACCAGGTGAGGGGGGGAGTGAGGCAGAGGAGGGGGGGAAGAACAGGGGGAGGACGGGAAGTGTAGAGGAGGGAGTGTATTTCTGTACTCAGACGGACATGCTGGCAGCCAGCGGGTACAAGTGTGAACTGTCTCCAGCGCAGGCAGACGAGCTCACTGCCACCAGGTGAGGGGGGGAGAGAGATGGTAGGAGTGAAGGAGGCCAAAGAAGGATTCAATCCTTACCCCAATGCATTCAGCTCTAGGTCCCTCCCGCCCCTCCCTATCCATCCCCCCTCGCCAGGTATGCCACGACGAAGCAGTGGCGGGTGAAGGACATCAACGCGGCGCAGCAGCGAGCGCAGGGCAGCTGCCCCCAAGGGATGCTCCTGACAGTATCCCACTCCCTCCCCTTCCATCCCCCCCCACCAGGCGCGCCACAAAGCAGTGGCGTGTGAAGGACATCAACGCGGCGCAGCAGCGCGCCCAGGGCTGCTGCCCCATGGCGCCCCACGAGGTGGGGCTGCTGCTCTTCGTGCTGGGTTTCCCCTCGCGTTCAATCACCCACTTTCACCCCACCATACCATACAAAGCGCACAGCAGTGGCGAGTGAAGGAGGCCAGGAAGGAGTGATTCTGACATCCCAACCTTTCAGAAAGGCGTATTCAGCACCAGACCACCCGCCCCTTTCATCCCAACCTCCCCACCCCCCCCCCACACCAGGCGCGCCACAAAACAGTGGCGTGTGAAGGACATCAACGCGGCGGAGCAGAGAGCGCAGGGCAGCTGCCCCATGACGCCCCGCGAGGTGGGGCTGCTGCTCTCCGCGCTGGGCTTCCCCAATCACACCCGCCTCTACATCGCCGCGGGGGAGATCTACGGTGGAGAGGACACGATGAAAGATCTACGGGCCAGATTCCCATTTATTGAGCGCAAGGTGAGAACGGGGGAGGGGCGACTTTCTGAGTACTCCTCTCGGCTTCCCCAACTGCACGCACCTCTACATCTCCGCGGGGGAGATCTACGGTGGAGAAGTCACGATGAGAGATCTGACGGCTCGCGTTCCTGTTGTCGAGCGCAAGGTGAGGCACCGTGAAGCAAGCGGCTGTTCTCTTGCTCGTGGCATGCCATGATGCCACCCCCCTTCCGTCCCACTTTCCCTCTCCTCCTGCCCATCCCACCCCTCTCAATCCTCCCATCGCCGCCTTTCACAGAAGACCCTAGCGACAGGAGACTCCCCACAACATCCCCTCCCATCATCGTCCCATCATCCTTCCATCATCGTCCCATCATCCTTCCATCATCGTCCCATCATCCTCCCATCATCGTCCCATCATCCTCCCATCATCGTCCCATCATCCTCCCATCATCGTCCCGCCGCCTTTCACAGGACACTCTAGCAACCGCATCGGATCTGGCACCCCTATCAGTCCACCAGAACGCGATGGCAGCGGTGGACTACCTGGTGTCGGTGCAGGCAGATGTGTTCCTCGCTACATACTCTCTCCCCCGCTTTCTGCACACCTATCCGCTACAGGAGACCCTAGCAACCGCAGAGGAGCTAGCACCTTTGGCAGCCCACCAGAACGCTATGGCGGCGGTTGACTACCTGGTGTCGGTGCAGGCAGACGTGTTCCTTGCCACTTACTCTGGCAACATGGCTCGTGCTGTGGAGGGGCACAGGCGGTTCCTGGGGCATAAGCGAACCATCTCGCCCGATAGGTGTGTTGCCTGATAGGTGTGAATATCGGTGTTCTAAGCAACTGAATGCAAGCACTAGTGCTTTCCTCGCCACTTACTCTGGCAACATGGCCCATTCTGTGGCGGGGCATAGGTGGTTCCTGGGGCACAAGAGAACAATTTCCCCTGACAGGTGTGACAGGTGTGACAGGTGTGACAGGTTTGACAGGTTTGACAGGTTTGACAGGTGTGACAGGTGTGACAGGTGTGATAGGTTTGACAGGTTTGACAGGTGTGACAGGTTTGACAGGTGTGACAGGTGTGACAGGTGTGACAGGTTTGACAGGTTTGACAGGTGTGACAGGTTTGACAGGTGTGACAGGTGTGACAGGTGTGACAGGTGTGACAGGTTTGACAGGTTTGACAGGTGTGACAGGTGTGACAGGTTTGACAGGTGTGACAGGTTTGACAGGTTTGACAGGTGTGACAGGTTTGACAGGTGTGACAGGTGTGACAGGTGTGACAGGTTTGACAGGTGTGCACTCATCAAGTGTTTGTGCATGCTTGATTGTTCCTCGCCACCTACTCTGGCAACATGGCTCGTGCTGTTGAGGGGCGCAGGCGGCTCCTAAGAAGCAAGAGGAAATATTTTCCTGACCGGCTTGGATCTTCAAGAGGATCTCTTTTCCGTTCTCTTGCATGCCATGGTCCCATTTCAGTCCACTTAAGCACGCCTATTTTGTTGGTGACTGTCCATGATGTCATTGCTGCTGTGCTGCTGAGGTGGTGTACCGATGTTAATCCATTGCTGTGTTGGCGCTTTGCTGTGTTGGCGCTTTGCTGCATCGATGGTTGTGTGTGCTGGGCTGCAGCAAGCGCCTGGTGCAGCTCATAGACCGGCTGGATATGGGAGAGCTGCGCGAGTGGTGTAGGGCTGTGGCGGTGCATGAGTGGTGGCGCATTGCTGCACTGCTGGACGACTGTGCTGACACCTTGCTGCATCGATGGTTGTGTGTGCTGGGCTGCTCTGTACATCTTTGGATGCAGGCAGGGGCCTGGTGCCGCTGATAGGCCAGCTGGACAGGGGAGAGAGTGTGTGATAGTGCAAGTCACTGTGTTGACACGTTACTTCAATGCTGCATGCTGCATTGCTCCCTGGATGCACGGCTGTGGTGCGGCAGGAAGGGCCTGGTGCGGCTGATCGACCGGCTGGACCGGGGAGAGCTGCAGGAGGGGCCCGCATTCTCTGAGCTCGTGTACCTGCTGCACATGCACAGGTGGGATGATGGCATGCTGCACATGCACAGGTGGGATGGTGGCATGCTGCACATGCACAGGTGGGATGGTGGCATGCTGCACATGCACAGGTGGGATGGTGGCATGCTGCACATGCACAGGTGGAATGGTGGCATGCTGCACATGCACAGGTGGGATGGTGGCATGCTGCACATGCACAGGTGGAATGGTGGCATGCTGCGCATGCACAGGTGGGATGGTGGCATGCTGCACATGCACAGGTGGGATGGTGGCATGCTGCGCATGCACAGGTGGGATGGTGGCATGCTGCACATGCACAGGTGGGATGGTGGCATGCTGCACATGCACAGGTGGGATGGTGGCATGCTGCGCATGCACAGGTGGGATGGTGGCATGCTGCACATGCACAGGTGGGATGGTGGCATGCTGCACATGCACAGATGGGATGGTGGCATGCTGCACATGCACAGGTGGGATGGTGGTGATGATGATGGGATGCTGCACCGGTGGGATGGCATGGCTGCACATACACAGGTTAGATTTGGGATGATGATGGGATGCGGCACAGGTGAGGACGACGTGGCTGCACAGGTGAGGACGACGTGGCTGCACATGCATATGTGATGATGGTGATGGTGTCATGCGGCACATGCACTGGTGGTTTCCTGCCTATGCACGTGTGATGATGGTGATGTTGATGCTGGCATGGCTGTGCATGCACCTACATGGTTTAAGCATGTTCAACGCTCTCCAGACTTCTGTACCCACCGGGTTGCCTGGTGTAATTTTGAGGCGCCTCAAAACTACTCTCCAGACGTCTGTACCCACCGGGTTGCCTGGTGTAATTTTGAGGCGCCTCAAAACTACTCTCCAGGCGTCTGTACCCACTGGGTTGCCTGGTGTAACAGCATCAGCTCAGCACGCCTGGTTCTTAACTTTTTTTCGCGTATGGGTTGCAGGCAGGGGGCTCCGCGGCACAGGAAGGGCCCGCTACCAGGCGTGAAGAAGAAGGACCGGCATCGGTCAGAGGAGGCGTTCTACGCCAACCCCCTCCCCGACTGCCTGTGCCAAGCCAAGCCCGAGACGCTTGGTGGGCGAGCCATACTGTTCCGGGAAAGGGGAGGGAAGGGAGGTCGGTACGCAGCGAGGTCACTTTGAGGTTGCCGGCATCTGTGTCGTATACATAGTGGAATCTCCTCTGTGCGTGATGTTGTGTTACTGTGAGAACGAACTTGGCGTTACAGCATCACCTTCCTCCTGTCATAGCCACTGGAGCTGGCCGAGATGTACAGCTGTATTGATACTAAGTGGCAAGTGGTGCACTTGGTGACTGTAATCAGGTATTGCTAGTAATGATCATCGCCGAGGTGTGACCTGCAGCCTCTTGTTGGAAATATCTCAAAGGACTTAAGCGTTTCTGAAGTGTAACACTACACTCGAGGAAGATTACAGGGGGGGGTACGCGAGTCAACGGAGGTTACACGAGGGGGCAGACAAAGAACGCGAAGGAACTCGAAAGGTCGCAACTGGAGGTTGCGACTCACAGTTACAACATCGCAGATGGTAACCGAAGCAGCAATCGAGTCGCCTGTGCGACTCGATAATCGCTCCTGCAACTGTATTCTACAACTGCTTTCTTATTTTCTATATATTGCTGTATGCTTGTTTCTTTAACCAATCACTTGTTCTCATATACTAGTACAAGGGTTCAACTGCCTCAACTTCCGCTGCACTACTCAAGTCTCATCTTACAACTGGGACTTAGTCTCTGGAAAGATCCTAAGGGCTTTTATCAGCCCAACATGGTATGAGAGCAGGTCAGAGACCAAACTCCCAGCAACTGCGCTCTATCAACAACCTGCAACTCAACTCAATTCAACGACTTCATTGATTACAAGACATGGACAGCAAGGGCAAGAAAATCTCTACGGGCTCACCCAGCGGCCAAGAAACTCAACACGGCAACTCTGGACTGCACGCCTCAGGACTGCAGACAGAGACCGGGACTGCTCAAGAAACAATAGGAAGAGCACCAGAGATGGTAACTCCATCACCCTCTTCAAGCGTGGACCCCAACCTTATGGAAAGGTTCTTCAGTTTCATGTCGCACTTCGACCAGCAGCAGCAGACAAGGACACCTGCGCATTCAACACAGAGCAATGGAGGAAACATGGGATTAGCGCCGATGAGCCTCGACAATTCATCATTCGGGCGACACAATCATGCGCCTACCTTTGCGCCTTATCACTCTTCACCGGGGACGTTCGAGTTCATGCCGCCCCGTGCCCAACCAACAGCAGCTGCATCACAACAGACACCAAACGAGATTTTAAGCCTCCAGGCGCAGTTCTCACACGTGATTAAACTGTAGACATCCTCACCATTCAACGGACACGATTTCTTTACCTGGAGTTTCGAGTTCGAGCTGCTGATGGAGGCTGCGCATCTCCTGGGATACTTCAACGGGTCCCTGCCATTCCCAAGCAACGGCACTGGAAAGGAGCAAGAAATCTTCACGTATCAGTCGCTGCTGGTGTATACAGTTCTCCTGAGAAACCTGTCACCACAAGAACAGCAGAGCATCAGAACATACAGGAGCTATGGCAACTCCGCAGAACTCGCATGGCATCACCTCAAGTGCCTCTATCAAGCAAACGACAGCGTGACACAAAGCAGACTCATGCAACAATTGACAACAATACAGATGAAGACCGGAGAAAAGGCGATGCAGTATATGAGTCGCAACCAGACCCTCCGCGACCGCCTGCTTCGGTGCGGAGGAACAATCACTGAAGAAAGCTTCGTGACGCTTGTCCTCGCCGGGCTCGGGCCAGAATGGAGAACCACACGCTCGCTTCTTCGCGCCCACGGAAGAATCTCGGAGATGCACCTCTGCGCCGAGCTTCATGCTGAACAACAGGAGATGGACCTGTTCGAAGAAAGACAACCAAGGAAGCAGCAGCAGTTAGTTTTCTACACTCAACGAAGGAACGACAACAACTACAATCGACACGACAAGCAAGATCAACGCGACAACAGAGGACTTACTTTCGTGCCGCCGTTCTGCCACAACTGCCAGACCTCCGGGCACTCCAAGGTCAACTGCACACGCCCTCGCGTTTATCGTCCAGTAGACCCACAAGTCGCTTCCACTCAAGAAAGTCCCCGAAGGCGCTCTTCAACATCTGCACAACAGACACCAAACATTATTAACTGTATGGTACACATCGACAACTGCACACCCGGATCACCACCCACTTACGCACCAGACGAAGAAGAGCTTCCGCCACCGCGCTCACAAGAACTTCAGGTCAACCCGACATACGCTGCGGTCGCCAACGCCGAACCCACCCGGCGAAACACCTGGTTCTTGGACAGCTGCTGCGGTCAACACATGTGCTCTTCGGGACGCTTCGTGCAACGAGAGAAACGCCTCAACCGCGACGTCATCATCACCGTCGCCAACAACGAAAACCTGAAAACAAACAGACAAGGCGTGGTTCAGTTACTATCCATGGAGACAAACGTCATACTTCAGCTCAACAAAGTCCTCATTGTCGACAACTTGGGATACAACCTACTAAGCGTAAGCCAACTAATGGCCAAAGGGATTCACCTGGAGTGCGACTCCTACTCCAACGAGTTTCGGCTTTACCACGGGAAGGGCGGCCTCTTCATCGGTCGTGCTCTCCTGATGTCCGGCGTCTTCGTGTTGGACTTCGTCCCCGACCGCGGTACTGCCGATAGCGACGGTATCGTGTCGTTCGCCGCCTGGACACACCCGCCGGATCTTGATCCCGACTTCGACACTGACGGATTCTGGCACTCCAACACCATACCTGCAACAGAAAGAACACGAGCATTAGCAGTCATCAGACAAGAAAGACAAGTACCAGCAAGTGTCCCTTCCCAACCATCACCTGCAGTAGCAGCAGCAGGACCCAGCCGAGTACCACCACCAACGATCCGAGGACCGCCAACCGAAGCAGACCAGCTTATGCCCATCACACGAGAAGTCTGTCGAAGTCCCGCCACAGTCGTCGCGTTCTTCTCCAACGCCGACATATACCACCGTTCGCCCGGCCATCGCGCTCCCGACGACATCTGGCACCAACGCCTCGGGCACCCTGCAAATAGTACAATACTACAAACCATCCAAGCCGAAGTGTTAGAACGCAACGCCCTCCTAACAACAAGCGGCCAAGAACTTCGACGACCACGCGCACGGTGCTTCACGTGCCCCGAAGCCGATCTTCCCCACCAGTCCTTTCCATCTCATCACAACCCAAGCGCACCTGCATACGCACCGATGGAAAAAGTCTACAGCGATATTTTAAACATGCCTCGAGAAGACACAGAAGCAGACTTCAACTATGTCATCACGTTCATCGACGCAGCAACCAGATACGTCTGGCACTACAACCTCAAGACACGCGATCAAGCGTTCGACGCCTTCACAACATGGCTCCCCATCGCCGAACGAGAATCAGGAACCAAGCTCAAGAGCTTCCAGTCAGACGGTGCACTGGAATACCAGTCACAACGCTTCAGGACCTATCTGGCGGAAAGAGGAATCAGACGCCTGGTGTCTCTGCCATACGCTCACCAGCAGCAGGGGGTCGCAGAACGCATGAACCGGACCTTGCAGACGACGATGCGAAAGCTGCTCCTGGGGATGAGGCTGCCCACCACACTGTGGCCAGACGCGATGACCCATGCAGTTCACCTGCACAACCTGTTGTCCTCGTCATCGCTTCCCAACAACGCATCACCGCACCTCCTGTGGACACGAAAACGGGGCAGCACAAAATTACTTCGAGTTTTCGGCTGCATGGTACAGTACAGACCCCACACCGCCCGAGCAGGACGCTTCACTCAACGAGCTCGATGGGGACTACACCTCGGCATTGCAAAACGTTTTCACGCATGGAAAATCCTCGACATACAAGACAAAAATACAGTGGCATCACGTGATGTTATCTTCTACGAGCGACTGACGCTGCAGCATTACCTGGACAACATTGCCAACACACAAGACCCCACCGACGGCTTCTCGGGACTTCGTTCCTTCGCCGACCGTGCTGCCGAAGCTGACGCAGCAGAAGAAGACGTACCTGAAGCCTCGGAAGCTGCCGGACCACTCCCTTTCTGTTCCGTACCTGTTCCACTCGACGAAGACAACCCTCTTGATAGTAGCAACCTCGACACCTTTTACCACTTCGCTGACCAAGGTTACATTACACCCCACCCAGTCGACACAAATGTTTCAGAACGCATCGGCCCCAACTTCTTACCTGACCCAGAAGACGGTGACGAAGCAACTTATTCCGGGAATGAAAATTCCCCTCGACACACACCCACGGGACTGCAGATTCTCGGCCTCTGGGTCTCCGTCCAGCATCCACCGCCGCCATCTCCGCGCGAGCCATCGACTCTGTCGCAGGCTCTGGGAGGGGAACACAAGGCGAAATGGAAGGAGGCGATGGAAAAGGAGTTAAAGGCTCTGCAAGACCGAAATACATGGAAGCTGGTACCAGCAACAAGCATCAACGGGAAGAACGTCCTCTCGGGAAAATGGGTGTACCGCATCAAGACCAATGCGGACGGTTCCACCGAACGATTCAAAGCTCGATGGGTCGTACGAGGCTTCGATCAACGACACGGAACCGACTACACAGAAACCTTCGCCCCAGTCTCCCGTCACACCTCCCTGCGCATTCTACTCGCCGTCGCGGCCACGAAGGAACTACCACTGCGCCAAATCGACGTCGCAAATGCTTTCCTGTACGCACCTGTGGACGCTGAGATCTTCGTCGAGCAACCCCACGGATTCATCGACGACCCCACAAAAGTATGCCAACTGATAAAATCCCTATACGGGATCAAGCAAGCCCCACGGCTCTGGCAGCAGCATCTTCACGGTCGCCTCGCAAAAATCGGATTCCTACAGCTGCCACATGACCAAGGGATGTACCGACTGCATAAGGGAAGAGAGTATATCCTACTCATCGTTTACGTCGACGACCTGCTCTACATCGGTTCCACTACCGACATCGCCACCTGGTTCGAAGGGGAGCTGAAAAGGGACTTGACACTCACGGTGTCCGACACAGTGACCCAGTACCTAGGACTGAATGTCGTCGAAGACAAATCGGCGTTCTACCTACACGCCGGAAAATACGCAGGCACTGTCGCGAAGAAATCCGGCCTAATGCCGACGGGTTCCGACTCCCTACCGCTACGGGAACAACAGCAGCACCTCCGCAAAACTCCCCGCGAAGCAAATTCAGGAGTATCAGCAGAAACTCGGCTGCCTACTATTCGCAGCAGTAACCTGCCGACCCGATCTATCTTATCGCGCGAGCCAACTGGCGACGCACCTGAAGCAGCCGGAACAAGAAGATTTCGAGGAACTCAATCGGGCACTACTCTACTTTGTCTCCACGCCGACGACCGGGCTTACCTACAGTAAAGCAACAACATCGTCCATACAACTACTCGGATACGTCGACGCCGACCACGCGGGAGATAAGGAAAATCGACGATCTAGGACGGGCTACATCTACCGACTAGAACCTATTGGGACTATCTCTTGGCAGTCGAGCAAGCAGGAACTAATCGCACTATCTTCGGCTGAAGCAGAGTATATCGCCCTTTGTACGGCGACCAAGGAAGGACTCTACCTATGAGAGTTACTCGAAGAAGCGAAGATTGCGACCCTGCCCGCCTTCTCACTCCTCTGCGACAACCAATCTGCGATCAAAATCGCGAACAAGGACGGCTTCGCCAACCGAACCAAGCACATCGCCCTGCGGTACTTCTTCGTCAAGGATAAAATCGCGAAGGGGAGACTTCAACTCAGTTACTGCCCGACGACAGAAATGGCCGCAGATTATCTGACGAAGAAATTGGCGAAGGCAAAATTCGATTACTGCATGCTCCTGATCGGACAAACAAACATCACTGGATCTGAACACGCCAGCACTCCAGAAACGAAGGGGAGTGTTGGAAATATCTCCAAGGACTTAAGCGTTTCTGAAGTGTAACACTACACTCGAGGAAGATTACAGGGGGGGGTACGCGAGTCAACGGAGGTTACACGAGGGGGCAGACAAAGAACGCGAAGGAACTCGAAAGGTCGCAACTGGAGGTTGCGACTCACAGTTACAACATCGCAGATGGTAACCGAAGCGGCAATCGAGTCGCCTGTGCGACTCGATAATCGCTCCTGCAACTGTATTCTACAACTGCTTTCTTATTTTCTATATATTGCTGTATGGTTGTTTCTTTAACCAATCACTTGTTCTCATATACTAGTACAAGGGTTCAACTGCCTCAACTTCCGCTGCACTACTCAAGTCTCATCTTACAACTGGGACTTAGTCTCTGGAAAGATCCTAAGGGCTTTTATCAGCCCAACACCTCTTTTTCCAAATTAAAACACGTGGATGGATGACGAAGGATTGCAAGGTGGGAGGAAAGAGGGGAACCAAGGCGGGGAATAAACGCCCCAATGAGAGGAAGGATGTCGGATGCGCATCGTGACTAATGCGAGGAAAACCATTGGAAGAAGGTATACCAGCAGAGGATGAAGCACGTGAACATATTGTATGGTATTCACCATGTGTGAAATGCACTTACCCAAATAAGACAGATCTTCAGGATTTATGCAAGTGATATAAATCCGCGTTATTAAGTTTTTGTCTCCGTTGGAGGTTTCGTCGTCAGTCATCCTATCAGAAACGCGGAAAGCTGGCTGTGAGAAATATCTGTGCCAGGCATTTTCGTCAGTGTCTTTTTCTTTCCATGACGTGGCAGCACAAGCGGTGACGTACTCCCATATCCCGAGCTGCTGAACTTTCCGATTCTGGCAGTGTATTTTCCGTCGTGGCAATGCTTTAGCTGGGAAAATGACTACATCATGACGTGTATCCGTGACCACCTTCGCCTTCAAAAGGAGACCTTATTGGTTGAACTTTGCCATCTGGCGAGCGATTCGGGGCTACAGTGTCTGAGACAGAGAGGGTGCCTGCCTGTCAGCAGCGCGGCCCATTATCCCATCCAACCAGCCACGCGACTGGCGAAGCGCAGCACTCAATGGCCCTCCGCTGTCCGCGGGAAACCATCGTTTGCTAGGGGAGTGCTGAACCCTTGGCGACAACAGTGTTTCGTAAAGCGTCGCAAATGAAAGTGCTCGGGCAATTAATTTCGCGCAACGCACAATGATTGGTGGACGACGCCCTGAGGTCGGTTCTGGCGAAAATACTAGATCAGAAAATATCCGAGTCACCACAGGAACTCCCTCCCTCCTTCTGGGAAGATCATCCCTGTGTAGAGAGGTGTGTGCTGAGCGCACGGTCGTTCCGGGTTTATGGTCGTTTTCAATGGGTGCAGACGGGTGTGTCCTGATTGACTGATGGGAGGCAGGCAACCTTGAGATTGCCGCAGAAACTGACCGCGCAAAACACGGCGAGCAACAGCTGATTTGTGTACTGTACGACCCTCCAGGGCACACTTGTGTGTGTGTAGGCCCTGCTGCGATACCCTCCCCAACTCAAGCTGATTTGTATGCCTGATTCAAGGAACACTTACTAAACTCCGTATTTGTTGCAGTTTTCCGTCTTGGCAGCATGCCACCAGCTCTTCTTTGATACCATCTCCTGTTGCCGCTCCATATGCCACAGCCTTCTACTAGCCTCTCTGTTCTCTCTCTCTCTCTCCCACGGGCTCTTCCGTACGAGTTGTACGGAAAGTACTGCTAGTAGCATTTAGAGTCTGGAGATGCATCCCGCCAGTGGCTTCACTTCCTGTCCTTCCGCTTTTGACCAGTAATTTCTTCAGTCCGCTCGCAGCAGGAGTCACATGTCCACGTGGCTGTCCCATCGCCCAGTACAATCACATCCGTTCTCTTAAACATCAACCCGTGAACAAATGCGTGACACGTGGCAAGGCATGGCTCCAGGATGCCCAGACGACACGTGGCGCGAATACAGCGTTCCGTTCGGAGACAATTCCACGTGCTCACAAGGATGGGCGGACCTCCTCGGCATGCCGTGTCAGCCAATTGCTCCACGTCAGCAACTCGACCCGCCTCGTCATTTCCCTGGTTCGACACGTCACCCGAACAGTCTCTTGCTGCCTCGGCCTCCGTCTTTCACGCAGCCGAAGCAGTGGCCTATCTTCCCCACGCTTTTCTCGTCGCGGGTCGATAGTTCCTCCGACGCCTTATTCTCGCTCTCCGCGAACGACGCTGTAGCCACTCGTCACCTGGTCTCTAAAACACCGCCGCCGCCGCCGCCGCCGCCGTCGGCGCCGCTGTTGTCAACGGTTCCCCTCAGCAATTTTCAAACGTCCCAGAATCAGCTCTCCTCGCTTCCTCCCGCCCCGGCTTCTCCCCGCGGCCCCCGCCTCGGCAGCAGCGGTGGCAGTAGCAGCAGCGGCGGGGAAAGCGGCGCAACTGACGGCGGGGATGGCGGCGGATTATGGGGCAGGGAGGAAGCGGAGGAGGATGCTAGCGCGCATCGGCGCGCAGCGCTCGACTTTGTGCTGGAGCTGGCCGGGCCGCAGATGGTGTCGGCATCTGGCGACCGTCGATTCCGATGGTGCCCCGATTCGCTGATCCCAGCCGACGAATTGCCCGTCGCTGCCTTCGCCGTGGACAGGTCGGTTCGAAAACGCTTTATCCACTTTCCTCTCCGTCCTGTCCACGGCGAACGTTCCTCGTTCCTCTCCGTCCCATTCCCCTCGTTTTCTGCTTGATTAGCCCCTTCTGCAGTTCTCTGGCCGTTTGAGTCGACTCGAAAGTCACCTTCTCGAGTGTTCGGCCTTCGTGTCGCCGACCGATACTCCCCTCCTCCGGCGTACTCCCCTCTGACTTGCTCCCCCTCTCCCTCCGCCCGTTTTCACCCCTCGCCGCGATTCCCGCAGGGATCTGACGTGCGTGATGTGGAACCGGCGAATAGCGTCGCTGACAGGCTGGAGCCTCGATGACGTGGCGCAGATGGGGAGGTTTCCGGGAAGACTGCTGCGGCCTGCAAAGGAGTCCGCGTACGAGTGAGTGGGGAGAGGAAGAGGACGAGGTAGAGGGGGTGGGGAGGGGGGGAGTGTAAGAGGGGGAGGGAAGAGTAAGAGAGGGGGGGGGGGGGGGGAGAGAACGGGAGTGAGGAGCGCGGGGAATAGTTGAAGTGCCGGATCAGCGTGTTGTGGCGACCCACTGCCACACGGAGCAGACCGTCGAGAACTCTCTCTTTTCACTCTCTTCCCTTGCTCCCTCCTTCTCCCACCCTCCCGCTCCCCTCTCTCCCTCCCCCCCAATCACCACCGGCACGCGCATGACGTGCCGCAGGCAGCCATGCAGCCAGCAGACCACATCCGCGCGACCATGGCGCTGTCACTCGCAGCAGCCCCCCCTCTGCCCCTCTGCCCCTCTGCCCCTCTGCCCCTCTGCTCCTCTGCCCCCCTCTGTCCCCCCTCTGATCCCCCTCTGCCCCCTCTCTGCCCCCATGCACCCCCAATCACCACAGGCACGCGCACGACGTGCTGCAGGCAGCCATGCAGCGAGCAGAGCCCGTCCAAGTAGCCATGGTGCTCGTCACCCGCGCCCAATGCGACACCCACTGCGACACCCTCTGCGACACCCTCTGCGACACCCTATGCGACGGCCTATGCGACGCCCAATGCGACGCACAGCAGCAGGAGCTACCCAGCCAGGCGTCACCCACGCATGAGTTACCCGAGCAGCAGTTGTGCGTGCAGCTGCACGCATGCATGCGCACGGATGCAGTGGGGGCGATAAACGGGGCGCTCTGTATCGTCATGCCGCTTACTACCATGGCCATGTCTCTTACCACCTTGGCTCTGCTCACTCCGGCACCTGATCCTGTTGCCACCCCTACCGTAGCCACCTCACCTCACCCATCAGCTGCTGCTGCCACTGCCACTCCTGTTGCTGCTGCCGCTGCTACATCCGTTGCCCCTCTGGCTGCTCCTGATGCTGCTGCCGCTGCTACATCCGTTGCCCCTCTGGCTGCTCCTGTTGCTGCTGCCACTGCTACATCCGTTGCCCCTCTGGCTGCTCCTGTTGCTGCTGCCGCTGCTACATCCGTTGCCCCTCTGGCTGCTCCTGTTGCTGCTGCCACTGCTACATCCGTTGCCCCTCTGGCTGCTCCTGTTGCTGCTGCCGCTGCTACATCCGTTGCCCCTCTGGCTGCTCCTGATGGTGCTGCCATTGCCGCTCCTCCTCCTGCTGCTGCTGCATCGTTTGCCAAGACGTTGCCCACGGACGAGGAGGACGGAGGAGGAGGGATGGATGCAAGAGGTGGGGGAGTGACCAATGAGTGGCTCGGGATTAGGAGGCCGGACTTGGAGAGTGCAAGAGGCGCGCCTAGCAGCATCTTCAGTCGCTGCAGCGGCTGCAGCGGCAGCAGCAGCGGGGGATTGGCTGGGAGAGGTGCAATCGGAGGGGAGGAGAGGGAGAGTGCGACGAGGTGTGGCAGCGGATGCAGCGGCGGTGGCGGCGGTGGCTTGGACTCCCCTTCCTGCCGGTCCCGTCCCTGCAATATAATCACATCGCCCGAATGTGGCGGTGCTTACGGAGAGTGGAGAAGACGGCGTGGGAGTGCGAGGACGGATGATCTGGGAATGGAGAGGCAGAGGGAGGGAGTGCGCGGAGTTGCACCGCTGGCAGTGGATGTAGGCGCCAGCTCACCAGTGGCAGCAGGGTCAGCATCATCACCAACAACCCCATCATCAGCAGCATCCCCAGGGTCCCCAGTATCGGCATCATCGCCAGAATCACCAGACGACATTCCCGAGGGCATGCGGGGCCCACCGGAGCTGCACACGCCTCGGGAGATCCTCCCGTCCCGCCACATGCTGGAGAGCGTTGGCGTGGGCGCCACGCGCAGATTCCTCCCCTCCAACGCCTCCCACACCATTTCATCTCACCCCACGCCAAAGACCCCTCCGGCCGCTACAGCCCTGCTCCCCTCCCCCATCCCTGTCCCCCCCAACGCCTCCCACACCGTCTCCTCTCACGCCACCTCGAAAACCCGTTCTGACGTCTCCCCGACGAGCCGTCCTGCCACCACAGCCCTGCTCCCCTCCCCCATCCGTGCCCCCTGCAGCGCCTCCCGCACCATCTCGTCTCACGCCACCTCTAATACTCCTCCTTCTGGCATGGCCCTTGTCCCGTCCGCCGCCACCGATTCGCCAGGCTCACCTTCTGCTGCCCGGCCTTCACCAGGCCGATCTCCACCTGCGCATCCCATTTCCACCCCTCCGGTGCCCTGTGAGATGAAACCCATGTCTCTGCAGATGAAACGCTCTCCCAGGGTGCGGTTTGACACGTGTCAGGATGAGATGAAACGCCGGACTCGAGAGCTGGAGGCTGAACCGTTTCATCTGCTGGGATCTCCACCCGCCTCGCTCTCCCACTCTCCCTCTCCCTCTCCCAGCGGCCCTTGCTTCCCCGATTCAAAGGAAGAGCCTAAGCTCGGAGTGAACTCAAGTGATGCTGCTATTACTGCTGGTGGTGGTGCTGCTGCTGCTGCTGTTATTGATGATGATGATGACGCTGCAGCCAACCAGCCGGCGGCAGTGAGGCATGCGGCAGCCTTGAGGCAGCCCGTGGGTCTGCCCCCCATTCGCGTGCAGCGGCGACGATTGGCCGATGTGCTCTGCGGTGGTGGTGATGGTGATGGGAGGCCGTTTGGAGAGGAGAGGTTGGGGAGAATCGAGGGGATGGGAGGGAGTGGTGCGGGGGGTAAGGGAGGCAAGGCAGCAGATGGCGCCTTCCCTGGAAGAGCCTACCCGTTGCTGACGCCTCTTCAGCTGCTGTCGCCCCTGGCTCTCTCCCCGTACCCTCCTTGCTCGCCTGGGTGGGAGCAGAGCGCGCTGCTAGGGGCGGCCGTTGCTCTCCTGCGGTCACCCCCTGCTCTGCCACCCTCGCCCGTGGTGGCCCTGCCTTCGCTGGTTGGGGGGAATGATGATGCTGCTGCTGCTGCTGCTGCACCCGCAACAGGTAGAGCTAAGGGATTGGAAGGGGAAGTGGCAGCAGCAGCAGCAGAAGCAGGAGCAGCACCAGTTGGCTTTACTGTCAGCAGCATGCTAGCAGGCAGGAAGCGAGTGCGAGCACCAGCAGAGAGATTGCTGACCGGAACAACATCCTTCCTATCTGGTGGCTCGTCTGCTGCGACCCCCTTGCCTCCCATGCCCTCCGCCGCCGGTCCCCCCTCCTCCTATAACGCCTCTTTAGCTGCGACCTCCTTGCCTCCCATACCCTCCTACGTGGGTACCCCCTCTCGTCTGCTGCCTCCGTCCACCCCTATGTGTGTGCGTGCGCTGGTGGCGGACGGGGCGACAGCTGGCGGCGTGGGAGTAGGGCTGGTGGGCGCGCTGCTGAACGACCTGCCGCAGCAGCTGGAGCGGTGCGGCTTCGATGTTGTCACGGCAGCTACAGTCACAGAGGCTGTGGGGCGGTTTGAAGAGGCAGTGGGCGGATGGGCAGCCGTGGTGCCAGAGGTGTGCGATGGCAGTGGGAAGGACGACAGGGAGGATGACAGGGGGAAAGACAGGGGGGAAGACAGGGGGAAAGACAGGGGGGAAGACAGGGGGACCAACTCGGGGAAAAACATGGGAGAGGACAGCGGGGAGGTTGAAGGGGGGGAGCAGCAGCATGCGAGATGTGCTGGTGAGCAGTGCGCTTTGAGTGAAGCGGGCCTGGCATCAGATGCAGCGGAGGCAGGAGGGAAGGCGGACGGACCCTTCTCCCTCGTGGTCATGGAGCTCGAGGTGTGTACGCCATGGCTTGAGGTTTCGCATCCCTCGGGATTCTGCACGGGTGTTACAGAGGGTGTGTCGGACATGGGAGTGGGGCGTGTTGTGGGGTGTGGGGTTCGCTCCATGCACTTGTCTTTTTTCTCCCCTGCTGCTGCCTCTTTCCTCTGTTGAGGCTGACCGTATGTCCCTCTGGTCCCCCCTGCTTCTCCCCTGCCGCTGAACAGGCCATGGCTCATGATGGCTTTGCCTGCATCCGCAGCATTCGCCGTGCCGAGGGACAAAGAGAAGGCGGGAAGGGAAGGGATGGGGAGGAATGCACTGCTGCTGATGCCAGGTGCAACCAGCTCCCAGTCTCTGCTCCTGGGGGCAGTTTCAGTGGTATTGAGGCAGACACGAATGAATCTTCATCATCACCAGCAGCAGCAGCAGCAGCAGCAACATGTGCAGCAGCAGCAGCAGAAGAAGCTCCTGGTTCTGTTTCTCCGCTTGAGGACCCGGCAAGAGCAGCAAATTCTGTTCCTCGCACGGTCATTATTGCAGTTGCTAACATGAACAGGTGGGATCTGGCGGGGTTGGACCGAGCCATGCAGCAGAGCATGCATGCAGGTGTAGATGCGGTGGTCCCTCGCACCATGAACCTTCAACAGCTCAAGTCGGTGCTCAGGAAGCTGGGCGTGAGGGGCAAGTATGTTTTGGTTCCCTCCTCGCTGCCCCGTGCCATGTCTGGCACTGTTCACAACCCCCTCAATATGTCTAGGTAGAAAGAGGAGCACGAGAAAGTCTTGCTCCTTGTCTGTATGCCAAGTGGTTTATGGGTGCATGCGATTCTAATATTCATCCAAATGTGTTACAGTTCCGTTACGTGGTGCACCAGCAGGGGAAAACGCAGGTGGTTGGTACAGTTGCTTGTTGGCGGTCCGTTCCGTCAACGTCAATTGGCCTTGACGGCCGTCGCGCAAAAATTTATGTTCATCCATACGTGTCCTCTGGCGACGTGACGCTACTTGCCCACCATTGACGGCTGGCGCGAGGGGCCTGGGGGAACTGTGGGCTGTCAGATAAGCCAGTACCCGATAAAGGCCCGCCAGCGTTCTGCTTATATCGCATTCTCCACAGCATTCCATTCGTGTGTGTTAGTGACTGAACCTTCAATCAATAGCTGGCAGCCACCAAGCCATGGCCTTCTCTCACCTGAAAGAGCCAAACCAGCATTCCATAACGCCTGTCGCCTAACGTACGCATAGCAGGAGCAGCCCAGTCCATGCTTGGCTTGGTTTCGCCATATGCTGAGTCCCCCTCACAGCTCACTGCGCGAGTCACACGCTAAGGACGCGATGATAATCGGTTTCGTCGACAGCACCTGCAGAGACACAGCAAAGTCTAGATTCTGGCAGACAGAGCGTTTCCGATTCAGTCGGTTTCGTCAAACAGTCGGTGAAGTAGAACTTTCCAGCTAGAGCCTCGGCAAAGTGCCACGTGTCAGCCAGTCACATTCCGCATTTCGAGATGTCCCAAAACCGGCGAGTTAGCCAATCCGGTTTTAACCTCTCGGTTTTGTCGTGTGATCCAATAAGTAACTTATTGTGAAACCTAATGCGCCTAGGACATGACACTCGTACTTATTCCACGCGGTTCCACTTGAAAGACCTCGATAGTTGCCGCGTCACATGGGTAACCAGGTGAGCATAATCGACGCGTTAGTAGACGCGGAATTTCCACCAATCAGCGACGCCGGTTCTAACCACGTAGTTCGGAAACCAGTAGGAAGCATCACCACCTCCAGAAGCAGCAGCAGCATCAGCACCCTCAGCAGCAGCAGCGGCAGCAGTATTGCTAATGGCGGTGCGGACAGCAGCAGCAGCACCGCTAGTAATGGCGGTGCCGGCACGTGTACGTGCAGCGTTACCAGCAGCGCCGAAAGCGGCGGCGGTAGCGGTGGCAGTGGCGGCGGAAAGGGCGGGAGCGCGGTGAGGAGCATCGCGTGCAGCGACCTCAGCCGTCCGATGGGCATCTTGGCGTTCGAAGTGGCCGGGCTGATGCACCGCGTGCTGGACCACTGGAGCCAATTGGAGCCCGGACACGTGGCAGAGCTGCGGCAGCAGCTGCAGGTGAGGGGTAGTGGATTAGGGCGTGGGTCTTTTGAGCGGACTCACACGTGACGACGCAGGGTGTGAGTCTAGATGGGCAGAGGGAAGTGCAGTCAGTGTGTCGAGACGGGTCGGTGGGATTCACTGGTTGCGAACTCTATAAAACGAATACCATCAGTCAATATGCCACTAATGGGTGTTGGTACTGATACCAGGAGCGGGTTCCAAGGGGCAAGGTTGGATGAGAAGCACTTGCTTACTCTGTTGGGTGGCTCTTGCTATTGTTGTCGGCTGTGCGCCCGTGCTCGCCATATCAACCTGGCAATGTGCTATTATGTGCATATGTGATTATGTGCATCTGGTGTGTGCTTCTTTTTCCTTCCGTTGGTGCGCGTGGTGGCGCTCAGAGCGAGAATCTGGAGCGACTGGGAGTGGGCGACTTCAGCTTCCGATGGCGCATGGCAGGTGAGAGGATGGGAGAAGAGGGGCCCACGCCACCCGGCCGGTGGGGGAGGGAGGGGGAGTGTGTGGGAGGTGAGGGAGAGAAGGGATGCTGGTGGATGGGGAGAGTAGCAGGAGTGCGAGGAAGAAACGAGGCACAAGATGAAGGGAAGGGAGAGAAGGAGACAAGGCGGAACGAGAGCAAATGGCTGGGTGAAGGTGTGATTTGTGATATTTTCCATTCGAAAAATGTGGGGACAGAGGTCAATGCAGGCACAATCTCGAAGGCCACAGCACAAGCTCGAAGGCCACAGCACAAGCTCGAAGGCCACAGCACAAGCTCGAAGGCCACAGCACAATCTCGAAGGCCACAGCACAAGCTCGAAGGCCACAGCACAAGCTCGAAGGCCACAGCACAATCTCGAAGGCCACAGCACAATCTCGAAGGCCACAGCACAATCTCGAAGGCCACAGCACAAGCTCGAAGGCCACAGCACAGAAGCTACATTGCCCTCCCCCGTCTGCACCTGTGTTGCCCTCCCCCGTCTGCACCTGTGTTGCCCTCCCCCGTCTGCACCTGTGTTGCCCTCCCCCGTCTGCACCTGTGTTGCCCTCCCCCGTCTGCACCTGTGTTGCCCTCCCCCGTCTGCACCTGTGTTGCCCTCCCCCGTCTGCACCTGTGTTGCACAGGTGTCTCTGTTTGATCTCTCTTTCCCCCCTTGCGGCCTTGCTGCTTGTCGTCGTACCATGCCCTCCTTTTCCTCCCAGACGCCTTTGCCCGGCCACAAACCCTTCCCAGCCACCACAAAGAACCCTATCGCATGATGCCCCCGTCAATCACATATACCCCCTCCCCCCCCCACGTTTTCTCCCTGATTTTGTCTGAAGTCTTTGAACGAGCTGCTGCTGCTGCCAGAGAGCATTGGCCTCTAAAACTCGCCCTATTGCCCCCTGCATTCCCCTTACCCCCCCGCATTCCTCCCCCCCTCAAACCCCCCCACCTTCCCCCACCCCCTCCCATCCCACTCACCATCCCCATAATTGCAGGCAGGCTTGGATTATTCGAACGAGCTGTTGCTGCTGACAGCTGGCGCGGCGGCATTGGCCCCTAAAACTCGCCCGCTTGCCCCCTGCATTCCCCCTTTACTCTCCCCACCTCCCCACCCGTCTCCCTTCATTGCAGGCTTGGAGTATTCGAACGAGCTGCTGCTGCTGACAGCTGGCGTGGCGGCATTGGCTCGGCAGAGTGGGGGGGCGGTGGGGGGACAGATGCAGCAGGTGCTGAGGGGGCACGCGAGACGGAGGGAAAAGAGAGAGAAGCCGGTGGGAAAAGCAGAGGCAGATGAAGTGATGAGGTGAGGGGGGAGTGTAAGTATCGGGAGCAAGATGGAGGGAGAAAACAGAGAAGGCGGTGGGAAAGGCAGAGGCAGACGAGGTAAGGGTGAGGGGGGGAAGGGGGGGGGGCGGGGGGGTTGATCGATAGGATGGAGGGACAGAAGAGGCAGATGCAGCAGGTGCTGAGGGGGAGCCGGAGGGAGAAGAGAGAGAAGCCGGATGGAGAAGAGAGAGAGAAGCCAGTGGTAAAGGCAGAGGCGGACGGCATCATGAGGCAAGGAGGGGAGGAGAACGGGCAGGGGTTGATAGGGGAGGGGAGTGTGTGTGTGTTTTTTATTTATGTGTATACACATGTGCATGCATGCGTGAGCAGGTTTCTTCGGGACCATCTGGGGCCAACGGGCCAACTGAAGCAGGAGATGGAAGCCTTGGACGAAGCCATCGCCAGGTGAGGCACCAGCAGGTAGTGTTTCCGTGGTGCGGTGAGGTTTGCGAACACGTCTCAATCGCCAACGGGCCAACTGAAGCAGGAGATGGAAGCCTTGGACGAGGCCATAGCCAGGTAGGCATGACGGCCCGGCCAGGTGAGGGTTAGAGCAATTCTTCTGTTTTATGTGTGTCGCATGCTGTGTGCCTCCTTCCTTTCTCAAACCCTAACCTGTTGTTTCTTGCTCAAACGTCCAAACTGCTCTACTCTCCCACGAAATCCCTTTCCGGCCTCCTTTCCTTGGCCTACTTCCTCAGCACGGCATCGGATGGGGATCCGTACTCGTTTGAAGTCAAGCAGCAGCCCACACAGACGAGCGACTCCTGAGTCAACCAAGAAGCATCTAGCCGTCCTTGTCTCCCCCTGACTCCTTGTTTAACCTGCTTGCTTGCCCCCGCAGCACGGCATCGGATGGGGATGCATACTCGTTTGAGGACAAGCAACAGCCAACACAGACGTACTCCGACGATTACTTCGTCACCCAGGCAAGCTTGGAACGGCACACAATAGCATGACATGCCGCATTTTGCCCTGCATCCATGCTCCATTGCCCTCTGGCTATCGCTTCTTTCATCATCCAACATTACGAGATTGCTTCTAGCATCGTTGGGAACTAAACAAGTGACTCAAAGGCAGACCCCGGTAAGGCGCGTCCATGTGACCGTACGTGAGTGTGTGGCTGCTACACATACACATGGTGTACCCCCATGTATGCCCACACACACACACGTAACCCCAGGCTCACACACACACGTATACCCACACATGTGCCCCCATGCATGCCCACACACACACACGTAACCCCAGGCGCACACACACATGTATACCCATGCCCACACGTACATGTACCCCCATGGATGCCCACACACACACACGTAACCCCAGGCTCACACACACACGTATACCCATGCCCACCCACACATGTGCCCCCATGCATGCCCACCCACACATGTGCCCCCATGCATGCCCACTCACACATGTGCCCCCACGCATGCAGGTGCAGAAGGTGCAGCAGCTTCAGAGGAGCTCCCTGTGGTCCCACGACCTCGAGAGAATAACCAAGGTGGGCTTTTCTGCTCCCTCTGCTCCCTCTGCTCCTTCTGCTCCTTCTGCTCCTTCTGCTCCTTCTGCTCCTTCTGCTCCTTCTGCTCCTTCTGCTCCTTCTGCTCCTTCTGCTCCTTCTGCTCCTGCCGCTTCACGACCTTAGAGATAGTAAAGTAGAGTTTGAAGGAAGCTGGAGACCTGGCACAGTGCGAACAGCATCCACTTCGTGCCTGCGCGACTCTCATTCGCATATTTGCGTGGGTGTTCCAAGGTATAACTAGCTCGTTTGATTCCTACAACTGCTTGCTTCAAAGATCTGTTTGGTATTGCAACTCCCATCCCGGTCCGATGTCATTCTCCTACCAACAGACACTCTTTCGTGTTTTCACGTGGATTTTTCACTGTATTCTTAAGTTGTTGGCTTTTAGACTGCCTTTTTCATAATATTTCAACACCCATCCCTGCCCGATTCCCCTCACTCTCCACCAGACCCTCGCAGTGGCGGTCGGCATTCTTTGGCAGCATTTGAGGGAGGTGTTTGGGTGGCCGGATCCCATAGGGCCAGACGACTTGGAGGGCACAGTGGGGCAGGCGGGGCTGCCAATGCTGTATGCGCGCGTGCTGGCTGCTGTCAGCCAGTTGGCTGTTACCCTCCCTGGCTCTCCGGCCTTCACAGAGAAGAGGTGAGCCGAAAGCCGGTCTTCAGGTCTCCCGCATCCCTGAGTGGCTCTAAGGGCACAGTGACTTTTAAGGTCGACTCAAAAGTCTTCAGGTCTCCTGCATGCCTGAGTGGCTCTGATGGCACAGTGACTTTTGAGTCGACTCAAAATTCTTCAGGTCTCCCGCATGCCTGAGTGGCTCTAATGGCACAGTGACTTTTGAGTCGACTCAAAAGTCTTCAGTTCTCCCGCATGCCTGAGGTCTCCCTCCCCCTGTCCCCCTCCAGGAAGGACCTGTACACCATGCTGCCCACGTTCATCCGCCATCAACTCCACAGCCGCCTGTTAGCAACCCAGGTCCATCTATCCTCCCTCCACTCACCCTTCCCCCACCTGTCACTCCCCCCCCCCACCCCCCCCAGGAAGGACCTGTACGCCATGCTGCCCACGTTCATCCGCCATCAGCTGCACTCCCGCCTGCGCATCTCCCGCCGCCGCCAGCTGGACTCGGTGCTGCTGGGGGAGCTGCGCCAGCTGGCGGCGCAGATGTTCTGCTGGCTCATGCCGTTTTCGCAGTCCACGTTACTCTGGGTGAATGAGCGGTCGCACAGTGCAAGGGTGGCTGGACGGCAACGCGTGCTGCTAGTGCAGGTGGGTGTGTGTCTCCTCAAAGCCAGGATTCGGTGCTTCTGGGCGAGCTGCTCCAGCTGGCGGCGCAGATGTCCTGCTGGCTCATGCCCTTCTCCCAGTCTACCTTTCTTTAGGGGAATGAACAGTCGCATTCTGCTCGTGTGGCGGGCAGGCAGCGCGTGCTGCTAGTGCAGGTGGGTGGGTCTTTGTGTCTTTGAATCCAGCTGGACTCGGTGCTGCTGGGGGAGCTGCGGCTGCTGGCAGCGCAGATGTTCTGCTGGCTCATGCCGTTTTCGCAGTCTACACTGTTGTGGGTGAATGAGAGATCGCACTCTGCAAGGGTGGCGGGCAGGCAACGCGTGCTGCTAGTGCAGCTGGCTCTGAGCTCCTTTACCTCAGATCTTCTGCTGCCTCATGCCCTTCTCCCTCCCAGTGTACCCTTCTTTGGTTGAATAAACTGTTCCAGTCTGATGGGGTGGCGCCAAGGCAACGTGTGCTGCTGGTGCACGCGGGTGTGCGTTTCCCTGAACGGGTGCTGCTGGTTGCAGGTACAGCAGAAATGCGTCGGGGCTCGGAGCAGCGGGTGCTGCTAGTGCACGTGGGTGTGTGTCTCCCTGCAGCCAGCTGGACTCCGTGCTTCTGGCCGAGTTGAGGCTGCTGGCGGCTCAGATGTTCATCGCCATGCCACTACTCATTACCACGCCACTACTCATTACCACGCCACTACTCATTACCACGCCACTACTCATTACCACGCCACTACTCATTACCACGCCACTACTCATTATCACGCCGCTACTCATTATCACGCCGCTACTCATTACCACGCCACTACTCATTACCACGCCACTACTCATTACCACACCACTACTCATTACCACGCCACTACTCATTACCACGCCACTACTCATTAGCACGCCGCTACTCATTACCACGCCACTACTCATTACCACACCACTACTCATTACCACGCCACTACTCATTACCACGCCACTACTCATTCCCACGCCACTACTCATTCCCACGCCACTACTCATTACCACGCCACTACTCATTACCACGCCACGACTCATTATCGCGCCACTACTCATTGCCACGCCACTACTCATTACCACGCCACTACTCATTATCACGCCGCTACTCATTACCACGCCACTACTCATTCCCACGCCACTACTCATTATCACGCCACTACTCATTCCCACGCCACTACTTATTTCCACGCCACTACTCATTATCACGCCACTACTCATTACCACGCCACTACTCATTCCCACGCCACTACCCATTACCACGCCACCACTCATTACCACGCCACCACTCATTATCGCGCCACTACTCATTGCCACGCCACTACTCATTACCACGCCACTACGCATTATCACGCCGCTACTCATTACCACGCCACTACTCATTCCCACGCCACTACTCATTCCCACGCCACTACTCATTGCCACGCCACTACTCATTACCACGCCACTACTCATTATCACGCCGCTACTCATTACCACGCCACTACTCATTCCCACGCCACTACTCATTCCCACGCCACTCCTGCTCCTACTCTCTCCCCCTCTATGCAGGCCCTCTCATTTCGCCAACAGGAATCGTTTTGAAGCTAGTTAGACAGAGCTCTTCTCCTCCTTCCCCTCCCACATAGCGCCTTCTCTCCCTCTTCCCCCAAACCCCCCTCTCTCCCGTGGTACAGGCCCTCCCATTTCGGCAACAGGAATCGTTTTACAGCCATTTAGACACAGCTCCTCTCCTCTCGTCCCTCACCCAAGTTCATTACCACGCCACTCCACTTTCCCCTTCATCCCCCTTCGTCCATTACTCCCTCCGCTCCATTTCCCCCTTCATCCCCTCTTTTTCGCCAGACCCTCCATTTCGCCAACAGGGATCGCTTCGAAACCACATTGATCAAGCACTTCCCCTCTCCTCCTTCGCCCATGTCCATTGCCCCTCCATTTCGCTCCCTGTCCGCCCTCATTTCCGCCCTCTCCCTCTTCTGATTCGTCAGACCCTCCATTTCGCCAACAAGGATCGCTTCGAGGCCATTCTCATCGAGCTCCTCTCCTCGCTCTCCCTAGTCATCGCAGCCTCCACCGCTCCTCCTCCCCCCCCTCCCGCTCGCCCTCACAAGCCTCCCTCCCTCGCCCGAGCCTCCAGCACCTCCCAAGCGTCCTCCCGAGCCAAGGCCTTTGGTTCGGCTTCCTCTTCCTACTCCAGCCGCCGCCGCGGCTCGCCTGCTCCTGTGTCCTCTGGTTCCCCCCTCGACGATTTCGACCCTGAAGCAGCACTTGCAGAGGGGGCAGCAGAAGCAGCAGCAGCGGCAGCAGGAGGAGGAGGAGGAGGAGGAGGGTCGATCCCATCTCGCATCTCCCTTCCCCGTGCTGCCTCTGCTGCTGAGGTGCTCGACGCTCCTAACTCCTCCATCTCCCCTCCCGGCGCCGCGGCTGCTGCTGCTGCTGCTGCTGCTGCTGCTTCCTCCCAACTCGCTGCAGCAGCTGCCAGCACAGCAGCAGCAGGACAAAAGAGCATTCCAATTCACTCCCAAGCAGACGGTGGTATGGCTGCTGCTGCTTCTGGTGCTGGTGCAGCTGCCGCTGGTGCTGCGGATCTCCCTTCCCTGGCAGCAGCACTCCCCCCGCGCCGGCGCACACATGCAGACATCGCAGCCGCTGCAATCGCAGTCGTTGACGCAACCGCCGCCGCTACTGCTGGTACCTCCACCACTCCCCCAAAACCATCAACAGCAGCAGGCAAGTCCCCTGCTCGCAGGCGCGGCCGGCACTCGCGCTCTCTCTCAATGTCAGATATCATGCCCGCCCCCTCCTCGCTCAAGTGGCTTGTTGACGACAGCACAGCTGGCAGCGATGCAGCAGCAGGAGGAGGGGGAGCAGGAGGGGTGGATAGCCTGCCAAAGTTTCTGGAGGAATTGGCTCAGCACGGGTTTGTGGTGCCGGCCTTCGATCGGAGCGAAGGCCGCGTGCTGCACCAAACAGCCACCCTCTCCTCTTCCCTTGCTGCTGCCACTGGCCCCTCCGCTTCCTCCTCCGCCTCTCATGCCTCCCTCTTCCACAACCCTCCCAGCCGTTTGTTCTCTGGGGAATCGGCCACTGATAGGCAAGGCAAGGGGGGAGCAGGAGCAGCGGGAGGGAGGGATGCGCAAACCAGCAAGAGTGAGAAGGACATGACGCCTCTTGACCGGCTACTGGCTCGCATGCCCCCCCCGCGGCGGTTAAAGCGCTCCACCACCCCGCCTGGTAACCGCATTGAAAGAACGCTCTCCCCCCCAGTTCGCCAGCCGATTCTAAGGGATGGGAGGGTGGAGGACGTGACAGTATCGCGGGTGACTGTAGCGAATGGAACCAGTGCTGGCGATGCTTTGAGTAGGCTTAGTAACAGTAGCCATGGTACCGGGGGGGATGTCAGCAGCAGTGGTAGCAGCGGTAACAATGGGAATTGTGGAGGTGTTGAGAACGGTATCGAGGGTGGTTGCAACAGGAGTGTGACTGAAACAGTCAGTGATAGTAATGGGAGGGGGAGAGGCCAGCAGGGTGGGAGCAGCAGAGACGAAGCAGCAGCAGTTTCTACTGCAGAACCTCCGCAGCAGAAGGCGCAGCAAGGGGATGCGGCTTCACCTCCATCTCAAAAAGACAAGTTTGACAAACAAATGCCACCACAGGGTGCCATGGCTGTTGGCTGAATTGCTGTGATTGGCTCTAACGATGAAAAGTTGCAGAAGCATGGCTTTCATATAATTTTTGTACAGCTCCAGGATTGTACTCTTATGTTATGTCTGATATACATGACTAAAGCTTGTCACTTCCCTAGCCCCTGATGTCTGAGGTAGTCAAAACGACACCACTCACCAACACTCCAAGCACCGTAAGAGGTGGTCAGTACCACCAACCATAACCACTGCCATCCAACACAATCAACACAGGAGGTTACTTAGAGCGTGTTCCTATGAACCTCTTCCCATGCAGCCTCTTCCCAGACTCGCGTGCTACAGTGTTGCCAAATTTGACGCGAAACTGTTCAGTGCGGTTCCGCGTGTCGGGAGACCCGCTGGGGTTGCCATTGAGATCCTCGGGGAAGGGCCACAGCTGCAGAGCCTGGGGGGTTATGGGCGCACTTACCCGCTACTTAACAAGCCATTTTAACACAGTGGTTTGTGACCGAGCTCCTAATATGGTATCAGAGCCAAAGGTATTGGGTTCAATTCCCAGTGTGTGCACAGGTAGAGGTGTCATTGCGCCGGCAGAGGTGCAAGGTCTTCTGCCTATCAAAGCGAGAGGGGGTGTCAAGAGACTCACCGAGGTTGACCTTGAGATCCTTGGGGAAGGGCCACAGGTGCAGAGCCTGGGGGGTTATGGGCGCACTTACTTGCTATTTAACAAGCTCTTTTAACTCGGTGGTTAGTGACAGAGATTCTAACATTGCATGGTGGGACGCAAGGTAAGGCTTGCCAAGATTCATGGGCGTGCTTCTGAACCTCTTTTCAGGTGAACATAGTTTGAGACGCGCGAATCTGTACAGTGCAAAATTCGACGCGAGCTGTTTTTTTTAGGTTGAGAACAGCGGAACGCAAATCTGAAACGGGTTAGTTCAGAACGGGGGTCCTGGGAACACGCTTTCAGGGTGACGCGCGAGTCTTGGAAGGGGTTGCCTGGGAAGAGGCTCGTAGGAACACGCCGTACAGTCAATCTGCAAAACATATTGTAGCTTACGTACTACCGACACAAGAAAGAACACAATCCTACTAGTATACACAGCCTACTTTACAAGAACAAGCCTCTGTAACACATTATAGAGGAACTCGGACCATCTATTTTGAGGCTTCGGCGAGCAGTAATGCAAGCAATCCATCTTGCCAGTAAACCCCCGATGCCCATTGGGCCTCAGAGCAGTCATCAGATCAACATCCATCAAGACACCCCCCATACCTTTCACTATCGGCCTCATTCCCTCGTTTTGAGCCTTCAGCTTCCCCCATCCATATGGCAAATCCCTCCCATTCTGCCGCTTCTTTATTGGCCGAGTGTGGTTCATGCAATCGAGGTGACCCGCGGCTGCCGACCAATAAATTATGAGCTTCTCAAGGTAATTATGCCCGATAAATTGCAGCATGCGCGAAACTGCACGGACCACGAGGTAAGTGGGCTTGATACAGTATGCGCACCTCTGTTCACCACCACCACACGTGCTCCCCTTATCTCTGGGCTCTCCATCCAAGGGGTGCTAAGCCACCGCATTCGCTCGCGCTTCTCCTCCCCAGCCATAACCAGCCACCGGTTCGCAATGTAATGCACCCGAAGCTTCGGGCACCCAGCCTCGTTAAATCGGTACATGTCTCGGGTCACAATAAACTTTTTGGGCGGCAACACCCATCAGGAATGGTACTCGGTGGTTGCCATACTCGACGGTTCCGGCACGTGCGTTACTATGTTGTGCATGAAGGAGATGTGCGCCTCCCACGTCAATGAGTCCCCGATGAAAGCGATCCTCAGTCCGCCTCTCCTCCTCTCAGCCAGCTCACACAACGCCCGCCTGTCAAACAGCAAAAATAGCTCATCCGGCCCCGACACCTCCAACCCCGGAACGGTTTGCGCTCGGGTGCCTAGCTTTGCACCAACCATGCGCGGACACCTGTCCACAGGCACGACCCACTGGTACTTGAGTGTCTCTCTCACCTTCCAGGCCTTTTCCCGCTCCTCCTGAACCAGCCCCCGATCCAAAGCGAAAGCATCGGCCCGGGCTTGTGCCAAGCCTCCCATCTCCTGAATGTGGTGCGCATCGCAGAGGCCCTTGCCGCTCTCGAACCAGGGCAGCACGCGCAGTGTGGCGTTGAAGCGCCAATCCCCCCTCTCCGCCACGCATGCCGCCCACTGCCGGAACAGCGCCGCCTGGCTTGCCCCCCTCTGCAGCCTCGACCCCGTGATGAAATCGCGGAAATCCCCGAAATTGTTGACGTCATCAGAGCTTCCACTGGGACTGCTGGTGCTGCCATCGGGGGCTGTCTGGATAAACTCGCCAGGTGAGAAGGAGATGGGGCGGATGCTTGTGAGGAAGAGGAGTGCGGAATTTCTGCGCACTATAGCGAGCATTGTAGCGAACACCTCGTCCACGTGGCAGCGCTCGTTCCATGAACATTTTATGTACGAGGGGTCGCACACGCTCACATAGTGCCGAATCCCAAGCCGCTCCGCCAGCTGGCAGTGCCACGTGGCGACGCTCTGCTGGCCGCCCGGAGAGGGATCAAATGACGATGTCTTGTGGTTTGGATAGAGCTGTGAGAGGGAGAGGGGGAGGGAGGAGTGG